GTGAAGGAGTAACCATCGTTGAAGGGATCGAATAGGAGGAATGGAGTGGGAGGAAGTAGCCTCCTACGTAGCTCTTTTTTTGTCTTCTCGTTGCGTAAAAATAGAAACTGACAAAAACGGCTGCGTATGAGACTACGGATGAAGCTTAGGGGCTGTGTCACGGCAGTCCAGTTCATTTTGTTCAATTTTGCCAGTTACTCGCCCTCAATCGCTATGGAACTTAAAGTAAGCAAAGAAATTACTTGTAAATGACACAAGCAGAGAATCGAGACAAACAAATATCTCTCCTGAGCATTATTTTTCAAGTTGCAAACAGCAGAGATCAACTTTGAAAAACTGTTAGGCTGATTAAAAGAGCAGTTTTCAAAAACCCTTAGTTCAATCCGTTACAATCTTCTTCAGTTTTGCCTATTCGTGGCATCTGTTGTATCTGTTGTGTTATTTTAACCTTCCTTTAATGTTTTAAGCGGTTATTTTTACGTTTCTCTTAATTTAACTGACTCTCAGCTCATGTCCCCTTCAATTAGTTTCTCCTTAATTCCAGACTAAGCCGAACCCATGTATCAAAAAAAAACTGAGCATGTATATAATACGAGGAGCCTTTAATTCCGATAATATAAACTGACAAAGTTTCGTCCATTTAAGCTTCTTCCTAAAATTCGTTTATCCCGGCCTTTGGTAAAAATTCATCTTCAAAATTTAGGGGTGGTCCACGGGAGTAGTCCATGGACAGAGTCCATATAGAGGTCCATGGACTAGATCCAAAGGGGGACCGGGGGGTCCATGTTTTATATACGTCCTTCCATCATCAGCTCTTCTTTACAACAATTAATTTGATCTTAATAGGTGGAACGAACAGATCGCTTTTCAGATCTAAAAAGGCCTAACCATGTTACCGCGGGTTCTGATGAAATATAAAGCTAAATTAAATTTGCACTGTAATATAAATAGCGAAGGGCTGAAACCCCCGGCTCAAAACTCAATAACTTTAGATTATTACTTGAGTTAGGCACACTAGACACTAAGTCGGTCTTAAGCAGGCTAAGCTCAAGTCAATATTCAATCGATCCCGGTAATTCCTCCCAACTGTTTTCCATTTCCCTTCAGAGTTCGAGTTACCGGGGTTCTACTGTAAACGTAATCAATATCTGTAAACTCACTGGTAGCTCGCAGTTCGAAACGTGTCGGCCGTGAGACAGGTTTGGAGATGATTATTATTAAACTTTACAAGACAGTTGAGAATAATGATTTTCTCCTGATACAATAGATTAACATGATTAATTATTGATACTTCCGAACTAAAACTCCTTAAAAGTTGACATTCTAATACGCTACGTTTCCCATGTACTTTGACTTTTTGCATTCATTTATTTTATTGTTATGTCTGAAAACGCAACAGAGAACTCTGATGCAACTATATGTCAGTTGGACACTCCAAGATCTAGCTCACGTCACCCACAGAACATTTCTACAGAATGCTGTTGAAAAGGAAATTTTATAGCAACTTGACGATCTTATTTATACACTGATTTAATAATCATTTTGCCGAATCACAAATCGGGTACGCCCTCAGCAAATTAAATGATCCAGTGGTGTTATGCAATTATTCGGCTCAGTCATTAGTCAGTAGTAATGATAAAGTTGACGTTTAACAAACGGCTATTTTTAAAGTGAACAGTTATTCATTAAAACAATAAGACTAAAATATGACAAAAAAGTATTAATAGATCGCAGATACTTCTCGCAAATGGAAAAACTTACAAGTTTTCTTTCTATAATTTTCCTGTCTTCGTGAAAAACTTTGTCCAGTTCTCCGATTTCAGAAAAAGGTTAAAACATGCCCAATTCAAACTTTCTCCTGCAAAAAGGGGTTTAAGCCTTACTATATGCAATACGTGCTTTGTCAAACAGTCACGACATATCACACATATTTATTGAACTGAAATTACCATATGAAAACCACAGTAATTAAAATGAATATCTGAGCGAAACAAAGTGCCTTAGAAAAGCCTTGAATAGTCATTGTCTTGCCTTTTGCCTATATACAAATTTTAAAAAGCCTTTTCAGAGTTGTAAACAGTGTGAGGAACAAAGATGAAAAAATATAAATATGATAAAGATACGAAGAGGAATAAGTGCTTGAATATTTTACCTTTGGCTTCTTCCGTACTTCACGCCCTTAACTTTAGGGTTTGCGATGTATCACTTTTTTCTGTACTTCAATACGTTTTCAAACATGCAGAATATTCGTGATTTAAGCTCAGATAGCTAGCATACTCACATTGTACTTTGATGTGTACTCCCGCGGCTTGTGGCCTTAAGGCGATTTAAAAGGTGACATGTTTTTTAAGAAGGTGATATGTTTATTACGCAAAGCCACCATACTTAAAAGTATAGTGGCTTTGCGTAACCCAAATAAAATTGTACTTGGTCACGTATCCAGTTAGCAGAAGAACTGAGAATGTCATGTCGAGATAACTTGGGCACTTCTCCAGAGGATTACAAGAGTGTCAATAAGAAATCAGGTTGTGGGAGTTGGTAAGAGCGCCAAAGCTGGTGCCTTGGTTTAAGCTTGATAACAGTAACACCCCTCCCTCAACAGGGATCCCACATTGTTGAACACTGGTACAAGAGCCTGCGCACCTTATAGTCTTGAAACGAAGAAGGACAGCCAACTGGAGGCCAGGTAGGATTAATTAATATTGAGCTAGTGAGACTTAGAGGGGAGGAGTGAGTAGGGCATGGTGTTACTCACCATCCCTACTCCTCCGGATCTGAACATTCATTAAACAACTTAATAACATTCGATGAAGCTCATCTCTCATCGATTTATCAAATGGTACTTTCCCGATATTTTAATGTAGGCGAATGTTCATGAATCTCTTTAAAAGCGAATTAGACTACGAGCAGTCCTCATTTTTCCTCAGGGATAGTAACGCGAGCGAAAGGCGAGTGCTCGTGAAAATCGCCCCACGCGAGAAAGGCGACAATGTTTCTCTCTCCAGCCGCGTCTCGCCTTTCTCGCGTGGGATGATTTTCACGAGCGCTCGCTCTACTAAGTCTGAGGAAAAATGGGGACTACTCGTCGTCTAAAAGTGAATCTGAAAAGGGTGTTACAGTACGTAGCTATACTCAAATTATGCGTAACCGCTGTAAGTTGTGATCATTTGAGTTGAAGTTTCATAAATTTTCAGATGCTTATTTACTGCTAAGATCCGGCATACCATATATAAAACCACTTGTAATATCTTTTTGTCTTGTGTTTAAGCTGTACGCTAGAGCTAGCTGCATCAGAGCTTTTTCTGGAAGTTACAGTGGCCAAATTTATAGTGTAGCAAAATAATTCTTTTGGGTTCACGGTTCACATGTCTGCTAACCAAGTGAACAGAAACGAACTATTGAATTACCTAACTACATTCAGTCAGAAAGTTTCCCAGAAAAATATGGGATCATTTGCTGATGTTTTGTAAGCAACTTTATTTCAGGTGATATTCATTATGGAATCTTTTTCGTTCTTCTCAATCTCATAGTCTTTATTAGTATGATTACTATTCAGGTTCTATCATTAAAATTATTATTCGCAATAACATTCCAATATATTAGCTCTTACAGTTAAAGTAAATACATATAAATCACTAAAGAATCGATTCTACTGACCTAGTAATCTACAAAACGTAAGTCAATATTGAGTTGGAATTTCAAATGTCAATGATAAAATCTAAAAACAAGAAACAACAAAAAACGAAAACTTTCATGCGAGGAAAGTAACACAAAAGATCGTTAAAAACTTTTCCCTTTTACGTCCCGAAGAGAATTAGAGTAGTATTGTTCTGGAAATTTACCACAAAAAAAATACCATTTTTAAAAATAGTGTTCACATGTATACCATTAATTAACTGCCAACTTTATATTTATAAATGCCACGATTTTCTGGCAAAAATAAAATATATTAAATATTATTTTTTTCTTTTACCCCCTCCATAATAACCCAATAGTTCACCATTAATAATTTAATTTATTATACATTATACTCATATCTGTCGTCTCATTGGCTAAGAGTCTATAGCTAATTTTGAATTGGAAATCAGCGCAACCTACGGATTAGTTAGTTATCTGCTAGCAGATAACTAACTAATCTGTAGGTTTCGCGCGCAATGCATGATTTCCAATCACAATATATATATGATATATATGACATATATCAATTCCGGTTCCTTGCGACGGTTTGTTTGTCTTGAATTTATTCAAAATAATGTATCATTAAAGGATTATTAGATTTGGTTTTTGTGATATTCTAAATCATCAAGGTCTCGGTAAGTGTTATCAGTCTCGGACTTCGGCTCGGCTGATAACACTTACCTCGACCTTGATTATTCCGGATATCACAAAAACCTCATCCAAGGGCTAGGGTTTACTTAACCCCCGATATATTTCAAGTCCATTTTTAAATAACATTTCGGTCAGGCTGTCTCCTCGCTGTTCAACAACTGATTGTTACTTTCGAGCGGGATTTTTTCTATCGGCGATATCAGAATAACATTACAGACTCATTAACATAACATTATTCAAGTCAATGCCTGTAAGCAGTAGTTACAGTAATATTTTCACTGCGATTAAACGTTTTACACTATTCTTGCAGCTTTTAGATTTAATATTCTATAACATATAACTTTTTTCGACCTTGTTACCAGTCGCCTTTCGGGAAATGAGTCCACGCTCGGGAGGGCGGAAGAAGTCGAACCCAAACGTTGACCCGAAAAGGATGAATTGGCTCTTCTAATTACCCTCAGGCAAACTTTGATCGTGCCTATAATCAAAAACTAATTGGTGGTCAAAGTCTAAAGGCAGATATGTGTACAGTACAGCGCTGATGCTGAACTAAACACATGCATGAACTCGAGTCATTACCTAAATTTTTGTTTGTTGTGACAAAAACAGAAATTATGCGTAGCAAATATATTTTCCGTGGTTAATTTTCATCACAACGTCTTCAAAATTCCTTAAGAGCAGTGAATATTGGTATCCCATCCCGATGTGGTTGAAACCCGTGTAAAGCAGTAGTCTGATGTGGCAGGGAAATGTTGTTTACATTCCGCCGTCAGGTATGGCTCCACAGCCAGACCAACGAATCCGGCCACAAATGCTCCCACAGCATTACCAACCGTTAATAGTCCCAATGCAAACTCTTTTTCCTCAGGCAAAACACGCCGCGCGACGGCATGGGGCGAATGCAAGACAATCATCCCAGCAACGATACCCAGGATGGAGCAGAGAGCGATCATGATCCAAATATACGGGAGAAAATGGTACCAAGACTCGAACACAAAGAAGATGAGAAGGGCATTGTTTAGCACTGCAACAAACAAAGAATAATCGTGAGTAATCATATGGCACCACTAGTGGGGCTTTCCGCAAGTTGCTCGGGATTTTCCAAAACGTTTCCCGTAATTTCTCGAAAAATTTGCGCAAAAGGTGCTAAAAAAACCATCAAAATTTGCTTTTTGTAACGAAAGTTGCTCAAAAGTTGCTCGAAAAAACAAAAACTTTTTTTGTTCTGATACGCCAATTCCACATCTCCCATAATGCACCTTTTCACGAGTAAACTATTTACTAAATAACTAGTTTAGTAGCATGGGCGGTTGACATATAATGTTAAAAATCAGGCCCAGATGATGTCTCTTTGTTCAATAGTAGCGCAAGGCGCTCCGCTGGGCAAAACAGTAGAGGGTGGACGTTTTCGAGAGCTTTAGAAACTCATTAGTAATTCATAAAGAAAAGACAAAAGAAAAAATGATGTTTAAAGAGTGTCTTTATATCTGCTAAACTTTATGCCCAATCTTTTAGACCAAAAAAACACCCCAGTTCTTTAACAACGAACCAATTAGGGCAGTGTGCAGTTTCATTAGAGTGTTGATTTATAAACACATCATTGTTTATCATTATTTCCCATTGTTTCAAGGTTAGGGTAGCTGCTACATGACACTACAAAGTTTAAGACACAGTTCAAACGGTAGCCTGCGAGCAAGCTCTCCGTTTGTGGGACTCGCGAGAAGTCACGCGAGAAGACACGCGAGTGCGGCCTCTCGCGGCTTTGCCGCTTACTCGCGCGTTCTGTGGTGGCTCCCTTTGTTTGCTATAAAAGGAGAGCTTGCAAGCAGGCTATTGAAACGAGGTCTCACAAACGTGGTAGTGGTCGGTTACGAGAGTGGTCGCAAGGTGAGTTTCGACTGTATAAAAATATTTTGAGCCTCACCTGCAAATATCCAGGTCTTATCGCACTTCAAGAACTCTATGGCCTCGTCAGGCAAACAAGCAAATATGAACAGATAACCTCTGCCAACGAACTTGCCGAGTCTGTATGCCAAGGCGTAATAGAGATAGTGATCTCGAGGCATTACGCCCGAGTTAGGAAAGGCTATGGTAGTAACAACGGCAGAAGTTGACATATACTCCGCGAAGTAGCTGAAAGCTAAAGGGATGATGAACGGAAGAATTTTGACACCAATACGGAGGTTCCCGCCGAATGAAAGTCTTTCAGGAATCGACGCTGGCTTCTCGGCGCTATCAGAGGTCCCCACGGCTGTGTATTCGACTTCAACTCGTTCTTGAGGCCTGCGCGAGATACTCAGGACGTTAGACTTGTCCAAAACGGCGTAAAACATCATCAGCAGGAAGGGAAAAGGAACTGTTATCATGGTTGCGACTTTGGGTGAGACGCAAGTCCATGTTGTGACAGCTGAAAGCAAGAAAAAAAAACGAGTTTGATCTGACTTTTATTTCTCTCAACTTTGTCAAAAACGACAAACTAACTCAACTAAAACTGACTAACTTATGACAATAATAACCATTTCCAAAATGCAAATCAAGACGTGTCTAGAGCTCTGGTTGGCTTAACTAGCAATCATGGTATATTTAACCACTACTCCTCGAGCCCGAATGGACTAAGAGACAATAGCCCATGAGGCCGAAGGCCGAATGGGCTATTGACTCAGAGGCATGAGGGCGAGATGAATAATTGTTTTTAGTAAAATCCAACTAGTTGGTCAAAAATATCGAGACAAAACAACGTAAGCTAGCAAAACGAGATTAAGCCGCCACTGTTTTGGTTTTCGAAGTCGGCGCTTTTCGCCACTAGTGGGCTATAACATATAGCCTAGTAGTAGCATTGATAATAGACGTAGCATTGATAATGGACCACTAGTTGGATTTTACTAATTGTTAATTATATGCAGTTGCTCCTTGCAAGGGAATCCAGGACAGTCTCATGGTTCTGGATTCCAGTCTTCAGTGGAACTTGGATTCTGGATTCAAATGATTAACGGGATTCCTTATTCCATGAGCCCCATTCCGGATTCCACAGGCAAAAATTTCCTGGATTCCCTTATATGGGACGAACCAATGCCAAGGCTACACGTCACCTTATTCAATGCAAGAACTTTTGTGGTGTTTTGTCCTATATCTAAAACATGAGTATAGCGAGGGAGACCTGGAGACTAGAGACTGCTCTTACTCCTCTTAACGTGAGCCTTTCTTGCCAGCTCGGAATTTTCCGCTTTGCTCCCACAAGAAAAAAGATCTTTCCCATGTAATAAATCCTGTATTGACTAAGCTTGTTCGGTGGTCACGATAGCTGGATATCGGCCTCAAATTCTTTCAGTTTAAATGCCATTTTATTGACCTCAACTTCGGTTCGGTCCCTTAAAACGCATGAGAAAAACTTGGTCTATATCCAACCTTCTTGACCTCAGGCAGTTAGACAGTATTAAAGGCATATATTTTTACACGCATTTTACTTCTAACGACAGTCAAACAGTAAAAAAATTGATTAAAGTAGTATAATAGGGGCAATGACTTCAAACGGGAAAATGACTGAAATAGAGCAGTTGTTTTTGACAAAGAAGTGTTATTTGAAAGGCACAGATGACAACGCCTGTAAAAAGACATTAAAAAATGCAACCACTAAGAGGCGATTAAAGAAAAAAAATATTTATCTTATATATTATAAACATGCAAGGGTGGTGAGTGACTCACAGCCCTCGTCGGGCCAAGAGAAAAAATTTTGCTGGCCGGTTTTATTTCTTAAAATTTTAATTTGAGAAGCCTTTTTAGAGTGCGAATAAAATAATACAAACTGATCTTCACCAATTTGCGAACTAGTTTTCTAGGTTGATAAAATACATTGTAACATAAATTTTTTGAATTTAAAGTGCAATTCAAGCTTATTTTGTTTCTGTCAAAATAACTTCTCTCTCCGGCTTGCCATCTTAAGACCAATTTTTCATAAAATAATTTTTAGCCAGCCGCATGGCCAAATTTCCCCTTCCCTCCAGGCATAACTTAAATTTAAATACAATAATTAAAGGTCAGACAATCGTTCCGGAAAATATTCTCGCAAACGTGGGTTTTCCTAGCAGGTGCTTCCGATTAAAATTTGGGGGAAAAAATACAAGAAAATCCTAAATTTTCGAGAACAAGAAACTGAAAAAACACACACAAAAAAACATACCTTATAAATAAAACATTGAAAATTACTCTCCGATCGAATAATTATTGTCTCTGAATCGCAAACAAAGTGACCATTTACAGTTAAGTATAATAAAGGACAGTATTGCTGGGTCCATTCATGATGAAAAGCAAAGTCTTGATTCGTATACTCAACGAACAAGTTTCCCTCCGTCCTTCGCTATAGAATGAGTAACGCTTGAAAAGGACCATCGAGTCAGTTATTACTGAATAAAATACTCTTCAAAAGAAAGCTGACTAGAAAGCTGTGCTTTTCCGTGTGGCCAGTTCGCTAAAATACGAGTGAGTTCAAAAACATTTGCCTACGAAACTGAAACGACTATATTATAAAGAACAGAGGTTTTTTTTACCTGTATAATAAAGAGGCGAAACGAGCGAAGCCATCCCTGTTCCAGCAACCCAAGAACTGATACAGATTTGCGGATAGAACGAAGTTAGACCCAAAAATGTTACTTCCGCTGTCCCTGAAGCCAAGGCGTTCAAAACAATTCCCACTAACTTCAAAGCTATTTGTTCGACGAACGCGATGACTGCTAGTCCGAGAGCCATGGTCAGAGCGATAAAAGACACCTTCACAGCATAAGGAATTCTTTGTATAAACCAGGGCGCAAGAACTTTCACAGCCAACAATGGCACCACAAAGCACACAAGAACTGTAGCAGTTGGAAGATCTCTACCGCTTAGAATGTCCTCCGATGCCGTGTACAACAACTCTTGGTTGAAGAAGGAAAGCGTCCCAAATATGTAAAAACAAAATACAGTTAACCCGCTCGCCGATGGTTTCGAAGAAGGCGACTTTGTGGACTCAGGGCTAAACTTACAAAATATTTCCATTATTCTGTCCCACATGGTTCGCGATCGAGTTTATTCCCACATTTAGCTTTTTTAAATTTTTAACGTGGCTAATTTGACATCGAATTTTGCCGTTGCCGAGGTTTCGGTCGCGCCATGATCTTCCAAAAGACGGAACAAACTCGCGATCATATCATCACAGACTATATTATGTACTTTTCTCCGCTTTGAAGAAAAATTAGAATTGCAGATTTATTACGGATATGCCACAAGAAAAGGACAATAGGCACTTAATTGAAAACAAAGGCTCTAAATTTACATTCGATAGAAAATAAGTAAAATTAGAAAAAAAAGAAGTTTTGTGACGTTAATTCTTCAGTTAGCTTTACAAAAGAAAAAAACAACAACTTCATGGCGTTTAAATTCGATTCTTAAGTCAGAATTTATCATGAAGAACTTACAAAGACAGGAAGCGAGACTCTATCAAAATACCTTTAAATCACAAAGCACGTCAATTTCTTAAGTACTCTCAAAAACTATAGCAACGGCGTGGGGTCTCCTGGAAACTAGGATCAGGAGTAATACTTTAAAATTGAAATTCTTTGTTGCCATTTTATACATATTTTTATTCGCAATATAATTTTCTTTTGAGCGCAGATGATAACCTTTTTATGTGGAAAGGAAATTACGCTTGCCGAAATATAAATAATTGAGGGTTTTGAAATATTAAGTTCATTTAAACGCCCACATGTTTTTAATTCTTTGCATTTTACCTCCTGTATCAGCGCGAGGACAGGAGTACATGATTATTAAGTAATGTTTTTTCTCCTCTAAAATTTCATCTATGTACACAAAATTTTTAATATTAAGAAAACAATTTTATAACAAGAAAACAATTGGAACATAAATAGAATCTGAATAAAGATAAGTTGTACTTAAACCAGTCTGTATGTCTTTTCACATTATAACCGAACTCACCGTAGAATATATATTAAAAACGGCAGAAACTATCCAATAAAAAACATTTTAAAATTGTACGCTAAGGGCTGTTCTCGAAGAAAACGCAAAAATGTTGTTTTTTTACTAGTACATATGTATGTGAGGCGAAGAAAAATTCAATAATACATTAAATAAACTAATCAGAATACTGACAAATTTCTGGTGAGCAGAAATCATGCAGCACATTTTGTACTTTCATCTGCATTAACATCGTCGCGGAGGCAACAAAACGGGGCTCAGGGGGAAAAAGGAAAAGGGCATGGGGGAGGGAAGGCGAGGGAGAGAGAAGATTATTGTCGTTGTTGTTGTTGTTGTTATATGGCTACTGCCTCCCTAACTTTCGTGAAGACGTCGTTCTTATGGCGTCGTTTGTTAAGTCCATATCTTAATAGGTTAGTGAAAAAGTAAACTTCCACAGGAGACCCAATACCAAGACGGATGTTGTTGCAGTTGCTTTTGAGGTCAAAAACATGCTTTTGGAGATCATAGAAATTGGAGCGATTTGGATTAACCGCTTCAAAAAAAAACGCAAAATAAAATCGATGTGAGAGAACATTTGTCTAGCGTCTCACTTAGCAGACGAGTTTAGGTTGTGTCAGCCATATGTCCTTCATTGTGACGAAATTAAATGCATTCAAGTACGGCTTTCTGTTGGCAAAACCTGGCTTATTTTCCTGAAATCTATCCCTGAATTCATGTTACGGCATATTTTCCTTGGGAAAGTCTTGAATAAAATAGTTCCAGATTCTTGTGGTGTCGGTATTTCCCTGCCCAGCTTAGCGGTCGTTTTTTTTGGGGGGGGCGGAGCTTTTCCTTCTCCTATAGAGGATTTTCCCGGAGGATTTTCTGGGTAAACCAACATGGCCACCGTTTCATTTTTTTGGAACACCAATATGGCCGCCGTGACGTCATGTGAAAACGTTCTATTTATCTATTTCTTTCCTTTGTAAAGGATTTGTTTTTTTACTGCTGCAATACCTTTCTAAAGCGAAGTAGTCGCCACATGTATTACAGACTGTCTTCTTTTTCGGATTTACGGAGATCTGCAATTACACAGGCGGAAAATAGCATCACACAAGGCGTAAACATTACTGCGTACAGGTCAAACCAACAATAGCCAACCATAAAATTACCCATATCTTTACTTCAATGATTTTATAATAATTTACAACGAAAATTTTAAACCTTCTGAACCATCTATTTGCGATTATGAAAGTTCAGAGTATTTGATTAAATATTCTGCTGCCATCAGTTTTTTCTTGCAATATTTTCAACATCGCGTACACAAAATAGTTTCATAAATATAAAATTAAAATTTTAGAACACCAAGAATGTGTTTTAACTCCGTCAACGAGGCTTTGGATTGACGATGACAAGAGAGGGGATATCTACAACGACAAGGCTGCAAAAATAGAGAGCTCTAGAAGTCAAGGCTACGGCAAACGTCAGATTTGAGTCGAGAATTTCTCAGAATAGAAAGCGTGCAGTTTAAAGCAGTCCAAGACGATGGTCATAGACAAAACTAACGTGAAGTTAATAATTTTAGGACAGAAGTAATGAACAGTAAAGCACAAGTTGCCCGACATGTATGTGTAAGATGAATGCATCGTTTCCCTGTATGTGTAAGATAAATTCAACTAAACAGTGCAAATAAAGTTGATGTTGGAAACCTTGGTCACGTGGAACAAATTCACGTTTGCCGTTTGCCGTATACGTGACTCTAAAACTCTTTTGTCTTTAAAGCCCAGTGCAAACGGACGCAAAATTGTTGGCCAACAACTCCCAACATTGTTAAAAGTTGTTGCAATGTTGTCGCAACTTTGTTGGATGTTACATCAGTGTTGCGTCCGTTTGCATACCCTGTTGCATGTTGTTGTAAAGTTTGAAACCGGTCAAACTTTTAGCTACGTGCAAACGAACGCAACAACTCCCAACACTGTTCGCCAAAAATGTTGAAAGTGGTTGGGTCTGGTTACACGTACCTTAATACCTGCCCAATATTTACGTACCGTTACGATGACAGTGTTTTAAATAGTTCTTAATCGAAAGGACTATGGTTGCCCAAATGCGGTGTAAGTGCTAGTCTACCCATATTTACTTTACAACAGAGACCGCAAATATAGGGGGGAAGAGGAAAAATAACGGAGTACGCAAAAACTGTAACTAGCTTTCCAGCATTTCCTTTTACGCTCAGGCCCCGGCAGTTTTAAAGAATTTCTTCACCGTTGCCCACGCAACTGACGGTTGGCTAACTGTTTTAAATGTGGAAAGCGCTTTATGGCTGTATTTGGTCTTTTACTTTCATAATAATTTCACTCTTGGTTGTATTCTCGTGATTTCAATCACGAGTACACTAGCAGCACTTCTACTAACTAACGACCCAATAATTTAGCATGATTAAATAAAATCATTGTGATAGTGGTGCTTTTGTACCGCTTGTATTTCAGATTGTTAGTGTATATCAATTACTTAACTTAACCTTAAAAATTGAAGATACTTAGACTTTTATGAACAGAAATTTCAAGAGACAGAGAAATTTCATGTAAGAAAAGTGAAATGTCTTGTGAGAGCCACTGAGAGGAAAATGTTAGTTTGGTGGATGGAAACAAGTGACGACCCACGATTCTTGGTTTGAGCCACGTGAACAGGCGGCCATGTTGACCGTCAAGGCATATAGAGATGGAAAAGGCCTGACTTCCGGTTGATATCTGTCACTCAAAAACGTCTATGCTTAAGCTCTCTATTAGCTGACAGGCGCGTCCTCAGTTATGACCCCAGATACAATTGCGGGACATATTTCAGCTCCAGTTTCCTTATCGTTTCTAAAACGGGCGAATTACAAACGAAACTAGATGAATTGCTGCTACTCTGAAAATTTGAGTTATCTGTTTGAACGTCAATGCCTTCTGCAAATTGTGCAAGCCGGTGTATCTTCACATTCTTCAATTCCTCTAGCAAAGAGGCGAATAAGTTGTCGGTGAACCCTAGAAAAAGGTAAATAATTAAATAATAAGAAATCAAAACACGGCGTAGTGTTTTTACGTTACTTCATGAGGTGAAAGTACGCAAGTATGTGAGTTGATCTAACGTGGCTGGGCTTTCAATAGTTATGACTTCGCTATGAAGTGTTTAAATTAAATTAATCTCCTCACTGCCATAATTCTTACTTGATATGTATCGCCGGATGAGTAACGAGTTCTCCGTCCACATTCCACAGGCTCCTGGCGCGTGGTCGTGGCGCAGTTGATGATGTTTTCGCGGCCAGCCGCTCTTCATCATCTTCTCTGGTGTCTGTTTCCTCGACTCCGTCGATTTCATGACCAGCGTCACTTTCTTCGTTAGAAGGACGAAAGTGAAACTCGCGCACACGGTGAACTTCCACAAAATCAAAGTTGAACTGTGTGGCGGATTAAAAACAGAAAAGAAAGGGATTATTTCCAGCGCAATTTAATATAGGACTCAAAGAAAAAAGACGTTATAAAGAACTGACGGTGTACAAGGATCGTAACATTTGGGAGGTTAGTTGACAAGAGCATCTACGCTGAAGTCTGCTTTTTTACCCTTTGATCGAAATGAGGAGGAAAATGCGCGGCAGTAGCTTCTTTTCCATACGCGTAAGACGGGAAGAAGGGCTTTTTCTCCTGCTTGGCTTTTCTCGCCCTCTTAAACGAGAAAGAGTTCGTAAAACACTGAGAATGAGGAACATGATAAATCTAGGAGACGCTTTTCACTCATTACCGATTTCGTTAAAAGAACGACAGTGGAAGACGTGACAATGAGCCGTAGTTTACCCTACTTTGGAAAAATTCAACTATAGTTTTCATCTCCCTATTCGCCACTTGAGAAGCGAGAAGGGAACTGGGTCGAGTTAACTTTCACAAAGACTTCTGGGACTGTTACTAAGGACAGGGAAAAAAAATTGGCCAATAGCTGACCGGCGCACGTGTCCCCAGTAACAATCCCAGAAACAATTGCGGGATGTATTGCGGGTCTAGGGGCCCGTTTCTCGAAAGTCCCGATAATTAACGGGACCGGTAAACTGTCTCCGTTTACATTAAAGATCGAGGTTTCAATAGTTTTGCATCTAACGTGATAAAACTATCAGTTAGTGAAACAAGATGGGGTAGTTTGCTAGCCAGGACCCGCGCTCTTATTCTTTTTATTTCGATTTGAATATTTGATTTCGGGCCGGAAAAGTTACCGGGCCCCAATTCCCTTCTCGTATCTAAAGTGGCGAATGAGGCACTTCTGAATAACAAGGGCGAGACCTTAGGGAAGAGAAAGCGGAGTATAAAAAAATGATCGGTACTGACCTGATCGGCTTTAGAGGTGATTCTAAGCATATGTTTGAGATACTGAAAGCGTGAAGTATGTTTAACAAGTATAAGATCCATACAGCCATCAGCCAGATGAGCGCTGGGAGAGAGGCCTTCAGGGCTCTTTGCACATGCGCAAGATATGTTGGCTCCAATCACACTGATAAAACGACCTTTCACTGACTGCCACATGGAAGCTGAAGTGCAAACACAAGAAATAGATAGGTAATCTAGCGTCAGTGCCCACGGCGCATGAACTTGTGACGACTTTAATCATGATAAGGTTGAGCTGGAGTTTTTAAATATAACAACATGGAACCGTAAAATTTCATCAGCTTCTTGCACGCAAGGCAGGCACCAAAAAAGGGGAAGGGAGGAGAGGGGAGGGGGAAAGAGCGCGAAAGGGAATAGCGTCCCTCTCTCCCCAGCCCCCACACGACGCAGGCTAGGTTTTCCCCTTCAACTTACCGTTAGAATGCTGTTCTGAGGTCTGTTGTAGACGGGAGTCGAAAACATCATTACAAACGCCACAACTAAAAGACAAAAAAATATACCATAAGTGACTCTCTTGTAATTTTATTCAGTGATTGACGAACAGTAATCAAACTAAGTGACAGGGCGTAACATGAGGTTATAGGAGGTTACAAAAGGTCTCAAGGGGTCACAGGAGCTTACAAGGTGTTAACGGGGGTTACAGGGGGTTACAGAGAGTTACAGGGGGTTACAAGAGGTTACAAGGGATTACAGGGGGTACAGGGTGTTACAGTCAGTTTTCACACGCAACTTCCAACAAACTGATTTGTTGCAAGCCAGGTTACCGAGGCTTAAGCGAGACGGAGACCGGGTTTGCGAGCCTGCAAAAGTATGAATCCCCGCCAAGCCCTTGTTTTCACTAAAGCCACTGGTCACTAAATCTGGTTTCAGTCGATGTGATCCACATGGCCACCCATAACCTGACATTCTGAATTTTTTTAAACACATTCACGATTACCAGGCAAACTAAGGGCTACGCGTACCTGTTTATTTCTTGATAGAATTTATTTTCAAAATTCTTTATTTTCTTATATTTCTAAACTGTTTACGGTCATCTGTTCCTTGACTGTTTAGGGCAAAAAGTATCGAGAGAGGACGCAAGTAACAAAGCTGAGCACGAAGGAATTCAGTGCGATCGTTACGCCCAAAAGTCGATTCGCCCGAGGAGGTTACGCCCTGACTTAAGTCGATTCACCCGAAGACATACAACACTCCACAACGAAGTGAACATAAGAAGTTTAGATTTAGCAAGTTTAGATTCCATATGTGTAGTCACCGACTTTTCACACTTTTTCCTTTTCAGGCTTAAAGAACGACAAATATGCATTGGGCGAATCAACTGAAGTCCGGGGAAACTACCATCTGCGAATCGACCTTCAGGCGAAAAGACCCGATCCCGACTTTCGTACTCACCCTGAGCGACATCTAGTTCTGTCTTGAGGACCAGTGTCTCCATTTTGAACTGCCAAAAACGTTACAATTCCTTCATACCCCCTGTTAGAAGATAACAATTGATTTTCTGAAGAAACTGAACCAAACAGTGGTTGTTTACTATTTACGAAAACGTCCCGCAAAAACCGGTTGGAAAGTTAAGGAACACGACTTTTTGCGTCGTTCCAGTGGAAAATTTTCGGGAGCAACGGAACACCTGAAAAGGTAGTCCTGTTTTTCCAGAAGGAATGTTCCAAACGGAAATCCGTGTTCCATTTCATCAAAGCAATCTTTTTTAACAGTTTAGGGCCTTCGCGGCCGTTTTTGGATGAACTGATTTGTACAATGGTAAACGCGATTCCGGGACGCCGGAAATTTACCAGTCCTACGTTTTGCGTACCATTTACCCAAACCCTCAAAGTAGCCACCTTTGAAACCTCGAATTACGGAACATAACAGGGCGAGTTTCTAAGTGCGACCATGACTCCATTCATGAACTGAATGAAGTTCACGAACACGTGCGCGCGCATCGAATAGGTTTTCCTGCCGTCAAAGTTACTAAAGTTGTTGGACTGGAACCCTATATTCACGAGCTGCTCTTTCTAGAAATTTGGTTTTAAGGAACTGCCCTCCGGGAACAGCCTTATACATTCTTGACAACTGCATGAGTCTCACGTCACGTTCTTTTTGAATATTTACACGTAACTTTTCGCAGCGCAGGCGATTTACATACTGCCTTTTTAAGAGACGTGTAACAGCTCATCATTTCATCAGATAAGGGCTTTAAGGAAGAGTAAAACGGGTAAAGACAAAAAAACGTGAGACTTGTTCAGCAAGACTGCAGCAAAACGAGATAAATAGCGATGTTGCGCGTTTTCCACCCACCTGTCTTGTAACAAATCAGGTTGTTGAAGGTTGCCGAAAGTTGTCGCAGAAAGTAGAGAGCAGTTCTACTTTTTGCAACAAAATCTGTATATTTTGTACGTTTTACCGGTCCCAGGCAGACTTGTTTAGCAGCACAGCAAGTGACATAACTCTCGCGTCTGGTATGACTGACTCGCGCGTAGTATAACCTTCACCCACCTCGCAACAACCTGATTTGTTGCAAGACGGATTTGAACGCGGCTGGTAAAATGCGCAACTTACCTAACTTCTCAACTCGTTTTAAACCAATGTTGCAATATAAATTGCACGTTTTGTTGTTCGTTTTACCATAGCTTAAGCACTATCCAAAACTTCTTGAAAGTAAGATAGTCAGCATCAGACAATCAGCAAATTATCAGAACGTACCTGTTTGACATGAATTTTTTAAAACCAGCTACATCGTATCTCCTGGGTCCCATCCAGCGAAGCTTCTCGCTATCTTGCATAACATCACCAAAAAACCCATAGGCTGCCATGACAACGCTGTAACGTAATACCTCGCTCTTTCTTTTAACACAACAGACGTCCAGCGGCTGCATGTCACCTGCGCATGTTTAGTTGTACAGCGGTTTTCAGTCGAAGAGTATAAAGAGTCCTACTTGATTCTCAATCCCGCAAGCGTGGACAAACTTTGGCGAGTCCCGATTCCCGAGTTACAGTAAAATCCCGTATCCCGATAATGTTTCCTGAATCTCGCACTGTCATTTGGTCAAATCCCGTATCCCGTGTAACGTTTCCCAACGTTTCCGCGTGAAAATCACCCCACGCCGCGTGTCGCCTTTTCTCGCGTGGGGGATTTTCACGCGCGCTCGCGTTTCTCTCGCTCTACTATCCCTGAGGAAAAATGGGGGACTACTCGTAGTCTATTTTCATAGTACAATATTATTACTTAGGCCACGTTGTAAAACATGTTTCTCATCCCCGCCCCCTTCACTTTTTGGGGTTGCTTCTCTTTTATTGGCCATAACAGAATTAGCCTACCTGCTCTCTTTTTTAACAGAAATCCAGATGAGAATCATTTTTCTTCTATTTACTTGGCCTTGGGATTTTACAGAAGAGAAATTTGATTTCTGTTGTGATATTCTTTTTGTTGTAAAAATGGTCATAGTGTTTACTAACCTAATATAACATGAAGAGCTGAGGTTACAGGGTCGTTGTTTCCTGTTGTACAAAAAGCTACAGCATCTGTTGATCCAGCAGGAATGATTCCTATAGGGATGTTGAGGGGGACTGGTTCAAAATCATGTGACATTGAATCCAACATGGCATCCCGCTGTGCTCTTATGAGGAGACCATTGAGTACTTCATGAAACATGCCATCTCCGCCAACAGAAACGACCCTGAAATTAACATATTAAAAAAACTTGAAAACTCTAACCCTGTTTATGAGTAATTTATTAATTATTGATAATATTACTTATAACAGAGTTAGTGGGAATGTGGGCAAATAATGATCACGAAGATCTTCTCTACACAAAAGCATCCTTTTATATGGTATAAGCACTTCTGGTTTTCCAGATATTATATTTCTAATGATTAACGAGGTCATTTGTTTTGCTTTCCAATCACTCCTCATATTATGTTCTTCCCAACAAAGGGTATCACCAGCTGAAACAACCACTCCCAGATCTCTTTCCTTCTCTACCACTTGTTTGGGTGAATAACCCATCGTATAGTTACTCTTAGGGTTATCCTTACCAATGTGCAAGACGCTGCACTTTGATTCATTAAATTTCATTTGCCACGCATCAGCCCAATGGGTTAAGCAGTGTAAGTCTGATTGAATGGTTTCTGGTGATCATGCATTCCCTATTAATTTTGAGTCATTGGCAAATAGCACTAAATATAAATTTGCCATCAATAACTGAAGTACAGCAAGTAGCTTTTGTATAAAGAAAATAAATTTAAAGCGTGTTTTAAGCTTTGTTGTGAATAGGGTATTAGAGAGGGTTGATGCAGAAAGGGATCACTGCTACATTTATAGGTACATGTAGTAAGATAAAAAAATTCAAGAAAGACAAATGTAATGGTGCAACTATCCTACCCATCTATCTTCTCCAGGCCTTCTTCTAAGAGGTAATCTCTGGCATGGTTAGCTCTTTGAGTAACTGAAAAAAATAAGATACCTGTTTGACATATCCACTCCACCACTAACAATAATATTCTATAATTGGTGAAAAATGCACAAGAAATTGGCTTAACACAAGTCACTCTGTAAATGCACTGCCCACATGAACAATTGTGCTTTACTATCCAGTACAAGTCTTAAGGTCACTTTGCATAAAATCTTACATCAGACAATGCTGCAAAATTTAGGATGCAGGTCGGTCATCAAGTGCTGAGGGTGGAGGATTTCCCTCAGGTGTTAGAAAATGAGCCCAGACCTGGCTACACAATGCACTGTTTTGACAATGACAGGAATTAGCAAATATCTAGCTAGGTTTCCTTTTCCCCCTACCTTTAAAAATTAATGAAAGCCTAGAGAAACTTCAAAAAAATTAATACATTTAGAAGTTACCACACATCTTCATTTATCTCTCTGAGATTCATTTATACAAAGCACCTAGCACATTAAAAAGCGCACTATAAATGAATAAATTATTATTATTAATGTACACTAGTAGCTACTCACCAATGATATCAACTTTGATATTTGCCAGTTCAAACAATGGCTGCACTTGTTCCATGTATATTTTACAGCCCAGTTTTCTGCCACCAACAGGATTTATAAACACTAACAATCTTTTTGGTCGGTTAAAACCTGAAAAAGTGTTATAATATGCAGGGCTGTCATTAAGACATGGAGACTGGGGATTTTCCCCAGCTACTTTCTTAGGAAAATAAAAGAAAAATAGAACCAAAAGAAATCCCTAGCTGTTTAATTCCCCACCTACTTCTTGTTTTACCTGCAAACTTGAAATCTTAGTGACATCCCTGATAACACTAGACAGGTATATACATTGTATCCTTGCTAATGTAATATTGTTAATATTTGAGATCTGCAGGGCTGTCAGTGAGAGCTGGGGCCGGGTGTTTACCCCCGCGGCTACTATGTAACACTAGCTGATGTCTCCTGCAGCTTGTATCCCAACATTGTAACATTTTGCAAAAAAATAAACAAAAACAAAAACAAATGGTCTGGTAAAACAGGACATAAAATTACTGTCAGATGAATGACTACTTTGAAAGCGTAAAATATTGCAGTGATGATTGTTATAAAGCTCTCCATTTAGAAATTGCAAGAGTTGCTGGGTTATTGTGACAAGCTCGTCCTCAACCTTCTCCCTTCACTCTCCTTGCACTTTCCTACTTTACTCATGGCTTGCATGTGACTCTTTGCCAAAAACTTTTTGATTTCCTAACGGTGAGCTTGATTTCAGACAAAAAATATTTTGCTTAGTATTTATTACTTCCAGGTTATTTTTCTCCCAACTGATTTGTACTTTCCTCATGACACAATATTTTTACATTTCACATGTCCAGTACAGAGAGTGATGGCAAAAAGATGGCCTACCTGAGAGGATGCTTTGTATACTGTCAATCCACTCCTGACATAGACCCTCATCTTCACAATCAAACACAAATGCTTTCTCTCTCCACTTGTGTTTTCTTGATCTTTTTATTGAATAGACACAAAATGACGAGCTTTTCAGCGATACCAACTCAATTTCTCCCTCAGTGGACAGGGAAGACTTAGGACTATTTGGGACAACAGCAAATACCTCAGCTAACTGCAAGGACCTCTTGAAGGATGCATTTGCTGTATTAACACAAATAAATTATACAAGTCAAAAATACTCATCATAAACATAATAGGCAAGAACAGATTTAGAGATATGAAGATTTTAAGTAAATCTGTTTTTAGTTTAAAGCAGTTGGAAACCTTGTTGGTTTAGAATTTCCTTTGATTCCTAGCCCTTAATCTTCATGGGAAGAAAATCTGGTTTCACCTGAGAAAGGACTTTGGTAGGCTTGATTAACTTTATCTACACGTAAAAAGACAACTAAAAAATTGTTTAAAAGAGCACTTTTTACTATTAGCTTGCTCAGTAGTAATCACCGCCACACCGACCCTCGTATAATCTATATTTTTGTGTAATTTGCTTTTCCTTCTCTTTTGTATTTCATACTTTATACACTTTTTTTTCTCATTTATCCTAAATAAAACTGTAATTTAAGCACAGGGTGTGTAATTAGTTTCACTATATCTTGCCCTTCTCATTTTATTCTTGTAATCTGATATTTTAATATTATGAATGACGTCTTCAAACTTATCTGTAATATAAATTAAAGGGCCTGTAATATAAGATAAATAAAGAAAATAACAATGTACGAATACAAAATACAGGCTTGATTTTCAGAGATCTCCCAAGTCTGGTCTTTGATCCCCTCCCTGAAGAAAGGGGAGATGAGTGTGGACTCATTTTTCCTTGCAGTGGCTCATACAAGCCTAGGATTTCAGGAGCAATAATTCACAATAATTCTGACCTATTGGTATTGCTATCCAAGGGCACATCAGCTTTTAAAACAATGGGTTCTTTCATTTTAGTGGTTGATGAATTAAAAGGACAAAATAAATGTTTATAAACATCAACTACTGCTATAGTTTTACAAGGTTACTAATCTTGAAGCCTTGTTTTTATGTGCTGAGAAAATCCCAGATGAATGGGGATTTTACTATTTCCCAACAGTCCTAGATTTGCCAATAATCAAAATAATAAGTATCGTCTAAAGTCTGGGATAATCGGCAATCATTCCTGACACATGCAAACTCAAATTTGGATTGTTGGGGATATCACACACTGTTGAGCAACTGTTTTTGCTCGGACAGAAAAAAAACAGGCTGAAATTCAATTACAAAGCAGTAGAGAAAAATGAAATTGAATTCTAAATTTTAAAACCCACAGGGTATGTTGTTTGTCCTAATTAGTGGAAAATGGATTTGCTGTTATAATATAAAATACAAGAGAACAAAAATAATAATATTGAAGCTGAAATCACAGTAGAAAAAGTGGACTATTAACAGCAGCAAACTTCAAGAGCATAGTCAAATGGATGAAAGTGAAAAAAAAATCGGTTTTGTATTTAAGGTAATTTGCAAGACGGACGAGATCAATCTACTATGAATTGACCCCATCTTATAGTAATGATGCTATAGACGTCAAAAAAAAAGTTCAGCAAGCAAACTGCCCTAGATGTAGCAAAAATCAAATGTAAAGTTTACAGATATTAAAACTCAACCAATATAAGCGGAAATTCTGGGTTGCAATTATATAATCATCGACGAAAAAGTTGATTTCATTACCTAGTCTGCAATCCTCAATACGAACATGGCCCCAAGACAGTTGTGTCTGAGAAAGAATCACGTCAAACGATTTTCCACCGACATTTAACACAGAGCGTTTCACAACTGAAGCGGAAGCCATGTTTGTTTCACTAAGCACGTCTCTGAAGACGCTAAACCCTCGGGCTCTGTGTAATGCTCGTCCCAGTACTCCTCCACTGACAAATAGCCTGCGAAAGCACAGTTGTTCGAAGGCCGATTAGCGCTTAACCCGGGGTTAAATTTAACCCGGGTTTCTCTTTCTTGTGTTCAAAAGTTTTTTCTCAGATTTTCTCAGATTTCTCTGTTATATTTAGAGCTGTTAATCATCAACTTGTAGACAAAAAGAATTAAAACGGAAATGCTTTTTAAGCTTTCAAACCTGAATTCAAACCTCGCACTAACCCTGGGTTACCTTAACCCGGCTTTGAACAACTCGGCCCCGATTATCTGATACGGTGTTTATGAAAAAAACAAGAAGACGCCTGAAGGCGTTTACACGGGATGTGTTGGTGTAAGTGAGAATTATGTTAAATGGCACTGGAAAGTTGAACAGTGTCAGGAGCCCATCACCCGGAGCGTCTAACTTCCATACTGCGCCTATGCAACGGCGTTTTCACAAGTAGGTTTATTTTTAGATAAGCCTTTCCCGCGAATTGCTTTCGAAAAGCCAATCACTAGCAATTGCTTTATCAATGATAAACTTTTAAGACGTAACTAGGACAACTCCTTGACATTGAAAAAAACATGGCGGACACACGTGAGAAATCTTCTGAAGAGTCTTCTGAGAGTACTTCAAGCGACAATTTCAGTATTTACACGGAAACTAGCAGTTCAAAGTAAGATTTGCAAAACCTAGCCAGGACGTCTACTTCATCGCGACAACGCATAATTCACGCAAAGGGAATTAAATCGAAATCATCTTCGAAGTAGCCGACTGTGAAAAGGTCCAAGCGAGCTACAAACAGTCTAAACGACGATCAAATAGAGGAATTGACCTCGTGGAAGAGTTATTTTTCGCGGGAAAAGCTTATCTAAAAATAAACTCACTTGTAAAAACGCCGTTGTACCAATTTATGGCAGTTGAACGCTCCGGGTTATGGGCTCATGACAGTGTATAATATAAACAACAAATGTTTGTATAGAAGATGAGTTACACACAAGGGTTCCTTTGCTCCTCAAAACAAAACTTACATCAATATTACCACCATATATGTTAAGAGAATGGGGTAGTTTACTAAAATTTGCATTCCGGCTTTACTGATTTCCTTAATAAGTGCACTTCCACATTCAACAATAGCATGTTATCAATTAGACTTCCAATAACTGCAGGGCGCAAGGCTGTGCTCAAGGGAAATTTTCAGGGTGCACAACTTGTCAGGTTCGTAACGTTCTTTTAGGCCACGAATCGGCCGAGCGAGCTACGAAGTTGCAAGTAATAAATTCTAGGCTTGACTTTAAATCAAGAAAGCAACACCAGCATACCGTCCGGCTGGGCCGACCTGGACAATATTTTCAGTCGCCCGAGGCCAAGTCTTAGTTGCTTTAGGGGATCGGGCGCCGTAAGTTAGTGCGCAGCCTTGACTTTGTCCTTCGCTACGCAGTAAGCTTACTTTTCCCTCCTTTGCTGATGCACAGTCTTTTTCTTGCTGGTGCATTCCAACCTGACTTGCACGTGATATCGAAATTGCAGCCAATAAAAAACACACAATTTTTCGGGACGGGCTCGGGATACGGGAAAGTTAAAATAACAAGGCAATTTTTTACTCCTTGGAAAATACGAAAGGAGTGCGCTACCGAATTTATGACGCTGGCTGACTACGTCATCCTGCGTACAAAAAAAAAACAAACCATACGTCTTTTTTCATAGTTTCTAGTTTTTTAAACGGTTACCCCATGATACCCCTTGTAACCCTTGTTACCCCATGTTACCTTCGTTACCCCTTGTTACCCCTTGTTACCTCGTGTTACCCCTTGTTACCCCATGTTACCCTTGTTACCCCTTGTTACCCCTTGTTACCCCATGTTACCCCTTGTTACCCTTTGTTACCCTTGTTACCCCTTGTTACCCCTTGTTACCCCTTAGTTACCCCATGTTACCCCTTGTTACCCCTTGTTACCCTTGTTACCCCATGTTACCCCTTGTTACCCTTGCTACCCCATGTTACCCCATGTTACCCATGTTACTCCTTGTTACCCCTTGTTACCCCTTGTTACCCCATGTTACCCCTTGTTACCCCTTGTTACCCTTTGNGGCCCCTTAATATGTTGGGCCCCCTGCCTTCCCCAATTTCCCTTTTTTTTCGGGGGTTCTCGGGGAAAAGGGGCGCTTTACCGTTAATGGGGGCCACCTTTTTTTTTAAAGAAACCGGGGGGGGAGGGGCGGGGGTTTTTGGGGGGAAGGGGCCAGAAAAAAATTTTTTTTTTTTTTTTTTCCCCTTCCCCCCAAACCCCCCCCCCCCCCCCCTCTTCCCGCCTTCTAAGTAGATTTGACACTCATGCAAGATGGCAGCCTGTAACGTAAAGCCCTCGATCTCGAACATCTTACGTAAAAATAGAGGACTGTGAACAGTCTACTGTAGGGAGCACTCTCTGGGCAAGGAGGGGCGGATCCAGGAATTTTCGATTGGGGAGTGGGGGGGAGGTCCAAACTTTGGGTCAGAAATAGACTGCGAAACAGTCCGTATTTTTACCTGTTCAAGTACGCGCGAGCAGTCGATAAAAAGGTCTGAAACGAAGCTGAAAACAGAGAGCGAGACTGTTTTTTTTCTAGGGCGGGTGAGGCTCGCGAGCTCCGCACGCGCAAAACTCTTACGTCGCGCTGTACCTATTTCTTTACTGATTTTGAAAAAAAAAACCGACGGTTTTGCAGTCTAGGTCAGAAAGGACTGTTGAACTTTTTTTGACAAATTACTTGCTTAGTTTTGTGGCAAAAATGCAACGCGTGTGTCATCGAACATTTAGGCAGTTAAACAGAAATATACGATCCGGTGTCGATGTAAGAATTTCAGTCTCAAACGAGCGTCAGGTCTGACGGGGGGGGGACCCTCCCCCTGGAACTGCCTCTGGCATTTCTGGGCCCAGTTGTTCGGAGGCAGATTAGCGCTAACTCGGGGTCAATTCTTTTTTTTCGTTCAAAAGCGTTTTCTCTGATAATTTTTCTCTGTTACTTTAAGGACATCCAGTCATCATATCTGAATTCAAATTTCGCACTAACCCTGGGTTATCTTGATCCTGCTTTGAACAACCCAGCCCTGGTATCTAATCTTGGAGCTTGTCACTCAAATCATATGCTGAATCAGAAGGTGCACCCAACGTCAATTTTCGGGAAATATCTGTTCGCAAGACGATTTGAGATCTATAATTTTAGGAACATTTGTTGTAAAATGTCTTGCTTGCCTGCCTCTCCTAGGATTTTCGAATATCTAAAAAATGGTACAATTGGCCATTTTCAACGGATATTTACTCTAAAAAGGTCATGCACCTAGAATTTTCGGGAGCCTTTTTTTCTGGCTGAAATTTTCGAAAAGGTAAGTTTTGATCCCTATAATTTTCGGATCAGTAGACTTTCAGCTAGGAAATCCGAACAGATGAAGAATTTTTAAGGGATAAAAATATGCCTATATCTACCGTTTAAATACTATGTATAAATGCTATGTTTAAGTGGTTTTGAACTACATTCTCGTTGGGTGCCCCTGAATCAGGTCTACAAGAGATTCGTCACCGTGTTCTGACAGTTAATTTTTTAAACATGATTATTTATTTTTTTTCATTTTACTAATCAAGCTTTTCTTGGAGACCGAGAGCTAAAAAGAAGTCACAGTGACAACGACTACCGAAACAACAAACAATATACCCGTTCACTATGAACTATCCTATTGTAATACCGGTTCCCTTGCACCATTGTTTTTCAAATGTGTCTGAAATTTATCAGGGTGATTTTGAACAAAAGGCAGTTCAAATCGGGTTACAGTTCAACCAATCAAAAAGCCAGTGAAGGCCATTAGGAAGTTGTCAACACTTCAGCCTGCGGGGCCTTGTGGGTAATTCAAAATGGCGATTTGTGAAGCGGCCAGGGAGGCCTCAAGCGTTTTTCAATGATGACTGATAAACAAAGACAACATCTTCTGTTTTCGTCCTCAAACGGTAAGTTTAATTGCCCTTTCGCAGGATTTTGATGTATAGCCATTTGCGGTTTACTCCGATACTTGAAATTTCCTTCGCAATTTGAGTTACGGGAGGACTTCTAGAATTTCGCACCGAGAGTGGCTGAAATGTTTTTTTATTTCGCACATCGAGATCCGTAAGGAAATAGCACTTGCACACACCCTAAGGATTTGTGGAAGGGCATAGTTAACTTAAATCTGTCAAATCATACACCAAGCGAGATCTACTGTAGAGGGAATAATGCAAATTTTTGCGCTACACGCAATTTGCAATTATTGGAAGTTTATCGCTCTGTAATCTAGCTGTTCTACGTGCCCGAGGTTTCAGTGTAAAGTATTTTTGAAACACAGTTGCGCTGAAATATAGCTTGATTACAGCTAACGGATGTAGGAATTTCCGACAGACAGAAGAACATATGACCATGGACTAAACTGTTATTAATAATTTTTTTAATATATATATTTTTTCATCAGGCTTTTGCGGCGTCGAGGTAACGAATCTTGTTTGATTGAAGCTTCGAGATCATCCGATCTATGGCTTGAAAACACTCAGTGGATTTGCCTGGGAATAACCAAATTAGGAATGAAGAAAATCAAGCGAGCTTTGTCTTTGAAAGGCAAAGGAACAGATGAAACTCTTTCCGAACTTGCCGAGCAAATGTCATTTGATGTCAACGGACGAGACACTAATGGTAAGAATGGCATCACAAATGCTACCTCTAGACCTAGCAGCAAATATTCTTAATATCTGTGTCTAAACTAAAATATACCACTTTAACAGACATCACTTCAATTTATTAAAACTGTAACATTTTACTGGCTGATATTTCCGTGCTACAAACATGAGAATTCTATTTTAACAAACAATCTGCTCCACCAGACAACACCATAATTGAGATTTCGATTTTAGATCAATACTGCCGTGTTTATAATATTTAATTCTCTACCTGTTTTGCAAGATGCTAGCCGGCAGTGGTCGTTGGTTCGTTTAAAATGCGTAAACAAAACACAAGGTGTAATATTGGTGTGAATACAGGCTGTCACTAGTATCATTTCTGCGGCGAATGAAATTGACATTCATGAAGCACGCGCGAGCGCCTTTCGTGTTGTATTCGAATTTAACGATTTTACGTTCGACTGTGAAAGCATTTTGAAACTACGGTATTAGAATGTTTACTGCTTTTCTGGATGCTTGATCAAACAGAGAACTGCAGTTGTTAAATTATCCTCTGACCTTGCTGTTGTTTCTTAAATTTGGGGAATTTTTTTGGAACTAATTACGGACTGATGAAAGTAGCGCTTCTTTAAGCATTTTCTCGCTGTTATATCTATAGGGAAAACACCGGTTTCAATGTTAGTGTTTTCATTAGCCTCTTCGGCTTCATTTGGCATTAACGTAATTTTGTGTCAATATTTGTTAGGCATATCGAGTCACCCTTAATGAAGGTTCGCGAAAATAATGGAGTCGTGGATTGTCGATCGCTCGAGAAAATCGCAGCTGATTACCCGCAAAGAAAGGTTAAAGTGCAGTTGCCGCTCCAACAAATGTTGCATGTCACACGAGTATTCACAATGTAACATTAACAGACCAGCCGAAAAGTTATATAACATATTTATAAGACACTGTGTGCCAAGATTTCTTTTTCATTTAACTGTACAACCGATGAAACAGCTACTGTAATCCTGAGTTAAGAGTAAGACAGATCGAATCAAATAGCGTCCATTTCATTGATTCCTTCCCAAACTCAAAAACCTTAAAAAAATGATTATTACATGAAATCAATCGACCGTAGAATAGATGTAATAGGAGTATTTGACATCGAATTTAGATGAAATCTTCTTTAGGTGAAATTAATAATTTATACTGTGGATTTTTTTAATCTTCACAAAAAGCTCATTCCTTCTAAAATGTTATCTAGTCTGCTTACAGCTTTAACAGATAAGATAGTTGATGTCGAATGTTTGTTTTTGTTTTTCTTGTGTATTTAAAAATTGATGTCACTGTCAGTTTTTTATGACAAGTTTATGAAAAATTAATTGCATGGATGGCTGAAAAATAAATGCACAGACAATTTCACTGTGTAGAAATGTAACAATAACAATTAGTGTCACTGAGATCCTCTTGTTTTCCTAAACATTTTTTTTATTTAATTTTTTCGTTATACTGTGTTTACAATTGTCAGTTTTTGAATTGTATTGAATTTGTTGTAATTTTATTGACTAGCAACTTAACATTAGTTAACAATTTTTAGAACATTGCTGGTAGAAAACACTAATATTTTTTACGAAGAAAATCATAGTAGCATCAAACCGTCTTTGTACAGGTTTGGCAATGGGGCATATCAAATTGGAGGTACTGTTCTGTACTGTGTTAATTATTCATTCAAGTCACAAATGTGAAAGGTTTTATTGTCTACTGCTGAGCTATTCATAAGTGTTATGATATTAGCATAATAAATCAACCTTTTACTAAAGATTTTTTTTTGTCTATTTGCATAATAAAAGACTTTTTTTAAGGTTAAGTCCCCACGAAGCTCGATATTTGTGAAACCGCAAACATTTTTTTACAAATCGGCCTTCCATTTCACACAAAACTAGTGAATCTGGTCCTCGAAAGCGCATTGTTTTGAAACCTCTCCCCGGAGCAGTTTAGGAACCCATCCATATGAATCCAGGTTAAAAAATGGGGGTTTCAAAAATGTCTGGATTTGTGTGGACATGGCCTAAGATTGTGTAGGCATAATCATTGAAAATATTGAATCTTCTCCAGTTGTTCTTACAGGTTGTTCTCTTTTTTGTTTGTTTTTCTTTTTTAAACATATTTTCACAAAATGAAAGTTGTTATTTTTTTTGTGAAATTTTATGTTAAAGTAGGAAAAATATTTGTTGTAGAATCAAGTCAAAAAAGATAATACTGACAAGAGCTGATTAATATTAGCCCCGCTGTCCACCCTAATTACAGTTTTAAAAGTATGCGCTTTAATTGTCATAGAAAACACATCGCATCTACACTACTGCTTTGATGTGTTTTCCACTGTCCACACTAAAATGTTTGAAAACAATAAAATGTTCTGAAATGTATTAGTGTGGATGGAATGCCTCAACTCATCGAAATGTATGCATTTTCAAAAATGCATTAGCGTGGATGGGGCGTTTGTTTGCAGTTTTTTTCTGCTGGCTGTGTTCTGAAATTCAGAAGGCACTGATTTTGTTACCCCCGTATTCTACATCCCTGATATATATGGCTGTCCCTTTCAGGTTACGATCACCAAAATGGACCAGCAAAGGTAGAATATGAAACAGAAAATGGCATACATTCCACCCAAGATGATTTTCTTGATGTTCCCATGAGGAAGCCAAGATCAAAATCAGTATGTTAATTCTAATTTGTCTAAATAAAAATTGTTATTGATAGATATCATAACTCTATACTTGCAAATTTAGTTCTGTGGTGATTTAATTTATTTGTTTGACATTACTAACCTTCCTAAAAATAAAATAATACTTTCTCTTTGCAAGTAAAATATATTATTACCCCCAATGTCTCTTGTTTTCCTCAGAGATAGTCAAATGTTAGTAGGAGTGAGTCATAAGAAATAAATGTCAACTTAAAGAAATTACATTTTGAGCAATACCGCACAGGGTTCTTATTTAGTGCCAACTTGTAACCGGCTGAAAAGACTTAACTTCAAATTTTGAGCACTGCCTACATTTGGGCAAAGAGGGTAAGGCAAGAGACTGACAGCCTAAACCTTCACTACTAAGCTGCCCACTATTACATCCTATCAGTCTACTCTGAAACTTAATAAGAACCCTACCACTTTTTCTGGTTTATTTTGAAGACATTTATGATAATCTCCAGCTCATGCACTTGCATATTTTGCTCAGGGAATACTGTACTACTGAAGTGTATTCAGTTGACAGTCTTGACTCTGAAACTCGATTCTTACACCTTGAAGCACCAAATTGAACTACTCTAGTTTCAAGTCACAAGAATCAAGTTTTTAGTTCAAGAAATTATTTATTTGTAGTCTACAGCAGTTACTAGGGAAATGAAAATTAAGAGAAAGATCTATGACTGTTATAAGAACCACATGTACATAAGGTTTGTGCATGTCCAACTGAAGTTTCCATAGCAAATTCGTGAAGTGCAAGTACAGTGTGCAAGGGAGTCCAGATCTAGATATAATGTGAAAAAATAACTATACAACTGTATTACAATATTTTTTTTATTCTAGACTAGCAGTTCCAGTAAAAGACTTTCATTACCAGTTCTTCACTATGGCATGTCACTAAATGATATTTCCATGAAGAAGAGCCCTGCCCATCGGACAAGAAGCTCAACAGAGTTTGGTTCATCTAAAAGTCCCCCATACAGCAGTGAACAGCATCTAAGTAGGCGTAGCAGGAGAATGTCACTTGTAAGTGCCTTGTGGTACACTGTAATAATTTGCTTTCATTTCTACTCACTGCCCTTTAAGAAAAGTAAAAGTAGGAATTTTTTTAGTTACATGTATATTCACACCCTTTATTACATTTTCTATTCTTCCCCCGTGATGATTTCATCACAATCTTGTTTGACGTTGCATCCTATAAAAACTGCATTCCGACTTTAATTTTTCAATCGACAGTCTGAACTTGGATATGGGAAAATGGAAACATATGTCAAGCTGGATAAACTGGGCGAGGTAAGGAAATATTCCAGAGGATCATGTATATCTCTTTGCTACTAACTTATGCAGGGTTGTCAGAAAGTTTTGAAGTAGACGGCTGAGTTATCAAAGTAAGCGGCTAGTCCAGGGATATTTTATTTAAAAAATGCCATCCGTAAAGAAATGCCAAGCAAAGAAGCCGGCCGAACTAACCAAATAGGCAGCAATTTTCGCCAGCAGCCAGCTACTTTTGACGACCCTGTCATGATTTTATAGATAACGGACATTTAATAATTTCTTATTGGATTTTTTTTTTCTGATAGGGGACATATGCCACCGTATTCAAGGGGAAAAGCAAGTAAGTACAAATGTCCTGCTACCCTGTGAGCAGAGGTTACATTTTCGCTGTGTGAGCTGGCATGCAAAAAGTAGCCTCTGCTGACAACTGTTCAATTTTCTATCGCGCATGCGCGAAATTCATCATGCGATTTGTAGCCAAAATTAATCGTCAGGTCTATTGTCAAATGGCGTGATTTTACGGGAATAAAAAAATTGCGAGAACTCTGATCTGCTACGCAAGACTCTCGCAGTGCTCTAAACCGGTCAAGAACAGGAAAAAACCCGTTTTTGAAAATTTATTCGTCCGGATTTTCCGGGCAGGGCTCGGCAGAGGCTACTTTTCGCACACCTGCTCACACAGCAAAAGTGTAGCCTCTGTTCGCAGGGTAATGCCCTGCAGGGTTTAAACTAAATTTCCCTTGTACCCTGGGGAAAGGAGACGGTGGAAATGGAGAAGCTTAATCAAAATTAAGCTGAAATCAATTTGACTTGTAACAGAAACGTCAGGTTAATGTGCACTCACAGGGTGCAAAGTAAATCATTTTTATAGCTCGCCATTCAGGCAAGCTGAAGCTAGCATTAACTAGCCCAGACGTCATTTCAACTAGCCCCAAAAGCTTTTTAACGAGCAGAATTGATTTCACAGTTCTTCTGTTATTTGAATTCCTCAAAAAACATCAATTGCCCATTGGGCAAGGTAAAAACAGAATTCACTAGCCTGATAGCAAAGTCCACTAGCCCCAAGCTGTTGGGCACGACTTGCTTTGCACGCTGACTCATGATCAACATTATTTGTTTTTATTTTAGACTTACAGATAATTTGGTTGCATTAAAAGAAATTAGACTAGAGCATGAGGAAGGAGCTCCTTGTACAGCAATACGAGAAGGTAATATGTTCTTTTCATGTTTATATTGTCTCAAAAATAGTAGCAATCTCTCTCCTCCTCTCTTTTACTTCTATGTGTTTATTATTATTTGTTATTATACCTTACGAATATTGTTTTTTCTTTTCTGGCAGTTTCTCTGTTAAAGGATTTGAAGCATGCAAATATTGTTACTCTTCACGACATTGTTCACACACCAAAGTCTCTCACACTGGTATTTGAATATCTGGTAAGTGTCATTGCATGTTTATCATTGTTTATTATGTTGCTACATGTATAGATGTAATATTATTAAATGTTATTGATCTTGATACTGTTTATTGGGGATTCCTTCTTGCTGTTTGTTGATTTTGATGTTTAATTCTGTTTGTTTGTTTTCTCAGGAAAAAGACCTCAAGCAATATATGGATGACTGTGGCGGAATTATGAGCATGAACAATGTCCGAGTGAGTGCAAACAAAATTTATGTCTCTATTTTTTTTTTCTCTACATGTAAGGGCATCACTGATTTTAACAAGGTAATTTATTTATTTATTTATTTATTTCACTTTCATTTCTTGCAGTTATTTCTGTTCCAGTTACTAAGAGGACTGCATTATTGTCATAGCAGAAAAGTTCTCCACAGGTAAGCCTATTATTAATGTTAGTGTTATTATTCAACGTGTATAACTTCATGTACAGCTAGTGTACGTCATCCTCTGGCCCTGCATTGGTAAAGCTTTCCTTAAATGTACTTTATGATGCAAAATGGGTTTACCAGCATTGGTGTCGAGCTTATCCTTGGCCTACGATTGAGGGTAAAGTCAAACTTTCCAACCAATTTGGGAGCTGGCCTATTAACCTTGCCCTAACAAACCCTTTTTAATATTATTATTAAAAAATCTTTGAAAGAAGAAAAGGAACAATAAGTGCCAGTTTTCCTCCTTTGCAACTACTCGCCGAATTCTCGTGAGCAGGAAGAGTCGCACTTTGGTGTTGTATCAGTCCATTTATGTTCTCGTCTAACCCATACAAATGAAGGTACATGTTAGATAGACTGTACAGGATTCGTCTGGGTTTATCCTACCAGTTCTCCCCCCCCCCCCCCCCACCCCCCCTCCCCGACGCACCTAGTCCCGTTCGCCCACTCCGACCCGGTTTTTTTCTTTCCTCCCACCTACGTGCTCTGCTCTACAATTCATATAATATTCTACCTTTCATGTCTTCTCTATCATTACCACTATCGCCACATCCCCCCGAATTTTGCGGGAGAGGAAGGAGTCCCTTTTTTGTTTTTTACTCCGCTTTTTTTTTCTTCTCACCCCCAAAAAAAAAAGGGAAATTTTTTTAAAAACGTTAAAGGGTTTTTTGGGTGTTTCCCCCCCCCCTCCCCCCCCCCCCCCCCCCCACCCCCTTCTGTGGAAGCTGTAGATAATTGCCAGTCTTTGTGAATGTGCTTTGCTATTGTCCTCTCGTCATCAATCCAGATAAAATTAAACTTTTAATTTGCAGAGATCTTAAACCACAGAATCTGCTCATTAATGATAAAGGAGAATTAAAGTTGGCTGACTTTGGTGAGTACAAGACTTCTAAGTTCTTTCTTCTATAATTCCCTTGTAAAATTCTTGAATTAAATATGTTTTACATCTTATATGAGTGATGTGAGGCCACCATTGTCATTGTTATTGTCATCTTTATCATCATCATCGTCATCACTACGACCTTAGGTCAAAACGCTAGAACAAGATCAGAGTCTTTGTTAATATCCCAACTGTCTAAATGCATGACAGATGTCATAGAATGGCACTAATTCATGCTCTCTAGTGTTTTGTTTTGTGTCATTGAGATGTGTGTGGCCAAGTTGTTTGCACCTGGAACTCCGGATCTGGAGGTCCAGGGTTCAAGCCTCACCCATCGCATTGTTTCCTTAGACAACAAACTTTATGCCACTTTGTTTCTCTTTACCCAGTTGTATAAATGGGTACTGGCAATATACTGTTGGGGGGTAACCCTGTGATGGACGAGCATCCTGTACAGGGGGGAGTAGAAATACTCATAGGCATGCTTCATGCTAAGGAAACTGAGATAAGCTCAGGCTGTTTGGGAATTTATGGCTCTTGTACATCTTTACTTTTTACCTTTTTACTGTTTTGTTTCTAGGCCTTGCAAGAGCAAAATCTGTACCAACAAAGACATATTCTAATGAGGTGGTGACATTATGGTACGTACTGTGGTGACAAAGAATATCATGTAAACTAACTTGTCTTGAGGTTCTTAGACGTATAGTACTCAATAGCTTTCTTAAATTGCCATGGTTACAGGAAGATCATAGATATCAAATTCTTGCGCCCATCTAGTAATAAGTTACTTGTGTTTAAATATCATATGGAACTACATTTTTGTGTACCAGCCATATGTACATTGCTCCAATGAATTCTTCAAGTCACACGGTTTTGTTCATATTTAGATGTTAATTTGCACCTAATAAGAAATAAATTATTATTGTAAATTATTAATTATTATAATTATTATTAAATTATAATTAATTATTAATTATTTATTGTTTTTCTGCAGGTATAGACCTCCTGATGTACTCTTGGGGTCAACAGAATATTCGACGCAAATTGACATGTGGTAAGAAAGCTTAACCCTTAAAGTGGTATTATACAGGTACAAATTCTCCAAGGTGATCTCCATACATTTCCTTAAAGAAGTCGTTGGAAGAATTTAAAAAAAAGATCAAAGCATTTTCCTACGAGTGATCATTTTTTATGATTCTTAACGAAAAATCCTGGCGATACGGATTTTTTTATCTGATCTTGGATTTTAGTAAAGAAATGCACCTTAGAGAGACATTACTGGGACAGCACTAGGTGCCTTGACTTACTGGGAGGCATTCACTCTATAGAGCGATAGAAACCAGCTTCATCGTGTTATTGGAGGTGTTTGTTCTATTAACAATAAAGTTGACTGCACCTTTGTCTTGCAACTTGCTAGGCTTGTTTACTGGCCATTCTCCAACAAATAATACTACTGGCATCCCTAAAAAGTTGATCTTGAGGCAGGAAATCAAGGCATCACAACCTGTATTCAGCAGTTTCAGCGTTATAACTGCTTCTGTTTTGGCATTTACTCAGCTCCCCTCTTGGTTCCATCATTCAAAGTTAATTCTTCTGATTACGAGTTTGAATGTTTTACCTCTTGTTTTTCTTCAGGGGGGTAGGTTGTATATTTTTTGAAATGGCAACAGGCAGACCATTTTTCCCTGGCTCAACAGTAGACGATCAACTTCATTTAATATTCAAGGTGAGCATGAAATGAATTTAATAATTGCGGGCGATAAGAGGAGCCCGCAATCCTAATCTCCAGGTTGTTATTACGCATGCGTTGCATGTATTTAGCCAGCATTCGTTTTGACTTCCACTAAGAATGAATGAAATGCCCAAAACGCAATTTGATCCCGCGAGTTTGGACCTTCTATCACTCGTAATCTGATCACGCGTGTTTTGACTATCGCTTACGTAAAACTTACGCAAAGTACAGCGATTGAGCAAAAGTGTTCTGTCCTTCGATCGTTGTCGGCCGCACTCCGAAACCTTTGGTTATTGCTAGTATAATTCTTGTGAGCTGTTTATTGAGAGCAGTTTTCTTGGGTCATTTTTTGGGTAAAACAATTTGGCCTAATTTACAGTTCCTAGATCTTTTTACTTGAGTACCCTCACTCCCCATGTACGAGATGTACACTTTTAAGCTATTTTTAAATAAAACTTTCAAAGTATGCATGTAAAGAGGCTAACACAAACGGTGTTTTTGGAGGTATGGATGAGCATTCTTGAGATCTGAAATATTGTTGTGATTTTTATCTTTTTAGACGCTTGGCACCCCAAATGAGCAAACATGGCCAGGAATAACTAGTAACGAACTCTTTCTTTCAGGTAAATATTGTTGCAACCGTGGTCCCAAATTAGCTTTTGGGGGCGCACGTGAAGTAATCAGTACTTATTCATTCTTGTTTTGATATTTTCAGCGAGATTTCCTTATTACCCGAAGGAGCATCTCATAAATCTATCTCCAAGGTAAATATATGAGAGAATACCTTCCGTCTTTTCAGTATTGACCCACTCTTGTGCCACGAGCCTCGCATGGAAAAGTGGGAAGGAAACGTGAAAATAGCAAATAAAGTCACCAACTTCATCGACTTCCAGTATCGTTTTGCTTTCGCAGGGTAAAGAAGGGAGCACACGTCCAGGCTAATTTTTGCGCCATTAAGTCGAGTATCGATCACTGTGCGCGGGAAAATGTCCGTGTATCCGTAAAATGTTTAGTCTGCTACACAGCCGTTTTTAGTGTCGTCACGCAATGCTCAAAAAACTAAATCTTCTAAAAAATAAAATCTTCTTTGGAAGTAAAGCGTGTCGCATGAATGTTATTGCTAGATAAGCTAACTACGCTTTCAGTTGAAAATCTGAGGGATTTTGACAAGGAGATGATTATCTTGTATTTCTCTCTGTTGCAGACTTGATAACTCAGGACTCAACTTACTCGAGAGATTTGTCGAGGTAAGGTAATTTCATTGTCGTTTAGGAAAGGTAAAGGCGCATACAAGCTATGAGGCCCACGCGGCCGAATTTTATTCCGGTTTCTGTAGTTCTGTAGTATGAATGACCAAGGAATATTGCCCCCACCCCCGTGCCTCCCGTGTTCGACAGGGCACCGTGTTGCTGCCTTTTTGCGCTTGGCGTTGTCGCCAAAAATTTTTACATCGCCATGTCCTTTCGTGCGCCCACATGCGATCCCTTGGCCTGATCCTGGTCGTATTCATGAAATGTAGTTGTAAAAAACACTCTCGTACAGTTTGAATTCGACTTTTACTTCTCGATTCACTAGAACAATTACAGCAAAAAAAAGAAAATACAGAATTAATAAACGCGGACTGAAAGCCTTACAAAAACGATAACTTAAAGTACAACAAATGACTAAGAAAACGAGCAAAAATTACAGGAAAAACTATACTTACAAGATCTGTACGGCAACTCCGGATACAACTAAGCGACTGATTTACATGAACCAAAAATAAGACTTTATAATAAACTGGACTGAAAATAATGAACCTAACGAACTTACAAAAATTGACAATAACGATTACGTAACGCAACGCCGAGACTAGAATACAGAAAGAATACGCATATGAAAAATGCTAACAAAAGACTACTCCAGGCGCGATAACAAAGGCACTAATTAAACTAAGTTTACGCAACGCAAAACATGAAAAAATAAAGAACAGGAAAAAACTCGCAGTCTCTCGTGGCTACAGTAGTTATCAGATTTACATCCGAAAACAGTTGTCCTAAGTGTACTTGTTGACTGTGTTTCAAGTTATTAATGGTAATGACAAATCTCAGAACTGATATATTTTTTTCTTTTTAAATCTTGTTTTCTTCCTCTTGCAGTTCATTGTAAAGGACAGAATATCAGCCCTGGACGCTATGAAACATGATTATTTCTTCTGCTTGGGCAAACACGTTCAGGAATTAAAAAATAGTAAGTTATGCAATATTTCTAAGTTTCAAGAGCTGCATGTCTACGCGCCCCGCAAAACTCGACTCGTCTCTCTTCTTAACGTTGACAGGGATGTAAATTGCAGTTATTGGTTTCATTTAGGTTGTTCAGGGTGGAAAGCAAATCTTTTTACCCATAAAAGAATCGCTTAGGGTTGTGCGTAAAGAAGTGCTTATAAATAGAAAGCAAATGCCGTCTTTCTCCAACACGGTAAGAGTCTTACTCTGTTGGAGTGTGGTCTCCTTTAGGCGTTTAATTCTAAATTTCCGAGAACAACCCCGCCTCTTGCATATGGAACCCCCCTCCCGGAATGGCAACTCCCCCCCCCCACCCCCGCCAATCGTGGTCTTGCGCCCATAAAGCTGAGTGTGGTTGATATCCTAGTCAAATGGACAAAAGTCATCGCAAGTCAGAAAATTAATAAGCGTGGTAGTTGTTTTTTGTATCAGTTTGTGTTAACATTTTTTTGTGTGCATCTTTTACAGTCCAGTCGATCTTTAGTATAGACGATATACGGTTGACAAGGGATCCTGGATATAGACCTGTTGGAAGATCAAATTTTGGTAGGTTTTTACCTGATGAATACCTTTGAAAGACTTCTCATTAGAGAATAAGATGTTAGAATACCTTTCATAGCATACTTACAGTTATAACGCCTGTGAAAAGTACTGCTCGGTAGCTTTTATTTGAATGGTTACACTGTAGTATTTCATTCACAGACTCAAAATTTAGAACCACCTTGTACGGCGTAATTAGTAGTACCACAGGAAAGTACTGCTCCGTAGCTTTTATTTGAATGGTTACACTTTAGGATTTACTCCACAGACTCAAAAATTAGAACCATCTTGTACAGTGTAATTAGTAGTACCACAGGAAAGAACTGCTCAGTAGCTTTTATTTGAATGGTTACACTTAAGGATTTCATCCACAGACTCAAAAGCGCGAACCGCCTTGTGCAGCATAATAAACAGTACCACAGGAAAGTACTGCTCTGTAGAGTACATTCATTCGAGTGGTCACACTTAGAGATTCTATCCACAGACCTTTAAGTTAGAACCTCGTTTTATTGTTTGTTATCGTTCAATCGCGAATCTACTTTTCCGTTCCGTCTGCAGGAGGCCCGGCTCGACGGAGGCAGAGTATGCTGTTCTAGTTACCATTCTCTCACGACAAGGAATACCACGCTTATTCGTACGAAATCTGGTACTGTTCATCTGGGGCTGGTTTCCCTGTTCAACGGACATTCGGCAGCTTTGCGCCAATCAGCTGTGGAATGATTGATTTTTACACGAAAAGAAACTGTTCTTACCGATCCAATGCTTTGTCTTTGTTAATAATATAATATTTTAGCCTTATCCTCTAGGCATTCTTTTCGCACATAAGCAGCCTTTTTAATCAATTGTTCGTTGAACACGTGTAAACACTTTTGAGATACGAAGGACTCCTGAAAGGGTGTCTCTTGATTAGCCTGGGATCAAGGGGGGCGGGGGAGGGTCCACACGGTTGAGGTGTAAGGTTTTCATCGACTACCAGTTTCTTTTTGCTTTCGTAGAGTAAGGAAGAGAGCAAACGTTCACGCGATTTTTGGAGCAGTTAAGTCGAGTATCGATTACTGTGCGGGGAAATAGGGATAGTTGATATTTTTACCTTTTTACTAAAAAAAACAAAAAATGGTACTGCAAAGAACACATTTATGTTTGAGAAATCTGGAAATACTTCTTACCTAATGCGTCTAGAAAGTTCAGCCGGAGGCTTTTATCTTTTTGTCCCAGAAACCAGTTATTTTGCTTTGCCAGCTTATGCAACAAAAATTCTTGATAAACTAAATTCACATGTCGATGATCTCAAATTGTATAGGGTCTATGCCTTTTGATCAGTTTAAGTTTGTGGGAAACTGCCTACCCACCCATCCCCTAACTCGACGTTAACACCTACTTCTCACTTAGGGCAAAATGTTGGCAAATTGGGTAGTTTCCCCAGAAACCTAAACTCTTCCTTTGATTCTTAAATGAAGAATTGGTAAATATGCAATTGTACAAAGTTTTGTTTTTCAAATTCTTTTTAAATAACAAATTGGTTATTATATCAGTGACAGGTCGAGTAGTAGTTAGGTAAACACGTTTACAGAGATTTGTAGTTTTAATGTTCGGTTTTAGTCTGTATAATTTGTAGATCGAATCAGTAACTGATAATTTGATATATTTTAATTTTAACACGGACGGTGATATCACAAGCCTATAAATACTGTACCTCAAGTCAATAAATACAGTTTCAACAGCTAGAAACCCTTTGCTTGTCATCCTTCTTTCCAATTATATTATGTAACTCGAATTATCATTCTAGGGGCTGTTTTATGGAGGGAGATCCTAGCACTAGGAAGACCCTAGGAGGCGGAGCTCCCTAGGGTATTCAGTTTACATGCAAGGGGTTGTACTTGTGCCTAGGGCTAGGATCCTGCTAGCTGAGGGGTAGAAAGATCCTAGCGCTAGGATGAACCCAGCACCATGTAAACTGCTTTCGTTTGGAAGATCCCGCTACTAGGGATAAACCAGACAAAAATTGCGGCGGGTCGTTCAGTGGGTAATCACGGCAAAAAAAGCCGACAACTCGTTTGGCGCAAACAGTGGTAGAAAACTGCCAGCTTCTGCTAAAAGGTAGTTATTAACGCTAGTAAAGAAAGCAGAAGGGACCGGCCAAATTGAATCTTTGGTATCGTCGCCCGCCATCTTTAATACCTTCTCTACCTATTAATCGCGCGGAATAAAAACTCTGTATGTAAACCCAAAGAAAAGTTGTCCCGCCTTCTTGGATCTTCGTGGTGCCAGGATCTTCCTCCCTCCACGAAAGAGCCCCTTAGGAAGAGAAACTAGGAGAAAGCGCGAAACGCGAATGCAGTGTGGTTCCTACCTCCAAGGTTTTTAAAAATGCGGTTCTATGGCAGCAGTTAGCCTGCGCCGGTTTTTTTGGTCATTACGAATGTACGTACCTGTGATCTCAATCCGATGTAGCTCGAGGTGCAGTGAGAGAGGATAAAGCGTTTGCACATGACACGTTACGGTGGCCATATTGGTGTTGCAAAACAATGAAATAGCGGGCAGGTTGCTGTTACAAGAACATCCGCTGGGAGTTGAACTCTTTTCTTAAGTAAAAGCTTTCTTTCCCCCCAATAAATTTGCATAGATGCTGGCCATGATTATTAATTTGTTGTATTCGTATTCATTCGAGCACGTCTCATGTACCTCATGTATATTAACAAGGTTTTATGCATTGTTCTCAGTTCCTATAATAATCAACATTCAAAGAGGCATTATCAACCAAAACAAAGTTGCTCCAAAGTTTTGAGTCGCATCGCTGATTTTGTACGTATCAAACCGTAATAAGTTAAAGTACCAAAAAGGTAAGATACCGAGTTTTATTTGCTTTGTTATGCCGATAGTTGTTCGAACCTGCTCTGTGATATATTAGTAATATATCTTTGCTGTTTCATACTGAACAGCATAACCATCGAGACAGGAACGTAACACGAAGTGAGTTCTATTGTGTGTCCGAAGAGACTAATGTCGTGAAACATTTTTCCTGTCGTCAAAAAAAAGTCATTGTTAGCACTCCGGAAGTGTAAAATTGGATTGGATTTGAACAACTGAAAGTAACTAGTGAATGGGAAAATTTACGGGAATGTCTCCTGGTGTTCTTAACTTTGAATTTAACTTCCAGACAGACGGTAGCTTGTTTGAATAATCAGCGCCAAGTTCACGAAAGAACTCCTCTTCATGCTTGAGAGCTGAAAAGTTTTACTAAAACACTGTGATTCGGATAAACTAGCAAAGACGAAAGAACACAGAGAACGAGCCATCAATTTAACACTTCATATGAGCTCCGTATAGAGTGCATGCATTTACGCTCGACTGCCCATAGATCTCTCGTTAATGAACTACAATATGCTAGGGTTGAAAGAGATAATTTTTGGATAGAGAAACAGGGCCAGGTTAATTCCTTTACTCAATTTGCGCCTTCTTCCTGCATACTCCCAACAGAGTGGACGGTCTCTTGGAGGTAATAAAGTAATGCCTTTCGCGCCAAAAAAATGCTACTAAGAACTGTGATGATAAAAGTCGTATTTTCCGTGGTTTTCAAAGTCGCGAGCTGCTGTAAAGCCTTCTGTAATGCGAGCCTTCTTCTTCAAGGAAGCACGGGAATTCGCTCATAGCCGCATTGCAAACGCGAGTCATAGGAGGCAAGCCAGGGGCGGGATGGGGGAGGCGAGTGACTAAGAGAGACTGGCTAGGTCACACTCGTGCGTGACCACCTAATATTTAAGGCCCTAGAAGGAAAATATACCAATTGTTTTGTTACTTGTTGACATCTAGGCTGGTGAGGATTAAATATGATTTTTGGAGAGGCTTTGATCATCGCCTTTCTGGCCACAACCCTGGGTTTGTTGGGAGTGTCACTGCACAGTATGTTCACATCACACCACAAAAACACCTTGGAGCTTCGAGAACTGGAAGACAAAATGATGGATAAATATGGCTGGGCCCCTTCAGTGCCTTACAACGCTTACGCTTGAGTCAGCAACTTCTTTTTAGCCTGTCAGCAGATGGACCTTAACTTGACTTCATTACCAGTCCATGTAGTGTTCTTTGGGAGTGCCGATGAGTGTAATTTTACTGATGTATATATATACTGGATGCTATCTAGTAACTGATTGATTCCAACTGCACAGCGAAGCTATGAACATTAGACCACGATTTGACAACATGAAATCTTTTGTTAGTTAGTACCGAGATGCATAACGTATCGATTATGGCAAATCATTCTTTATTTATCAAAACGAATTTCTAGACTTTTTTATAGTATGACAACCTGCATTTTCCATGTGTTACGAAACCCTTAGTATTCTTTTTTCACGAATTTTAATCGTAATCAAAACGATTTTAAACTGTAGCTACAGATGATTGACTCGGTGAAACTAAGTAGAATTTTAATGATCCTAACTTTTTATACAGAAAATAAACTTATTGTTTCTAGATGACAATAACGCCCTTTCTCAGTTTCAGCCCTATCACGTTCAAACAAATCTGCTCGGCAAGTGCAAAAAAAAAAAACAACAGATTCAAAACGGCCATGCACTGAGATTATTGGGTTAAATATCTTTGAGGTAAACTGTAGTCAACTAAATGTCGTACCTTCCTAAGGAATTAATGGCCGTTTTCACACTAGAGACGCATAATCCGTCATCTATTGCGAATCGTTTACCTTGGAAACTACCCCCTTCCTTGTAGCCGGCGGGGCAGGCGTTAAGAGGGGAAGGGGAAGGGGGAATTTGGGCGCGCGAGAGCCGCCCTAATTCCCTTCCCCTCTCGAACGCCTGCCACACAGGCTACCTTTCTTGGGGAAGGGGGACTAAGATCAACATTCGGATCGCATATTGCTCGCGTCTTACAGGTATTGGAGGCTCTGACATGGAAACGAGGCTAAAGGCTACTTCTGCATTGTTTCACCATTAACCTCGTTCGCATGCATGTTTGAAGAATGTTTGAAAGCAGGCTTAGCTGTGTGACACCTGACGTGTTAACTTACCCCCGCTCTCAGGAACTTCCGAACGCACGTGTCATACTGTAAGCCATTAGACTGGCTCTTGACTCTCTCATTAACTTAACGAGTGGTAACAGTTATTTTCCAACCTTTGTAAACTTCAATCCAATCCCTTTTTTACCACTAATTTTCATTAAATAATGTGAATTGACAGATCGTCCGCAAGTCGTGCCTCATTGAATAAATATGTAGTAAGTCCTCTCCTCCTCACCCCCCCCCCCCTCATTATTTTAAGAAAAATGAACACACAAGATATTTGATGTTGAAGTAACACCAGTGCATGTAAAAAAAACAAAACAAAATAATTGCATAATTTTCATGTCATTCTTTCCGTAACGACACCTTTTCCGTGATAAATTTCTAATATTTTACTTTAATACTAAGACCGGATTAGCTTTTATTTTTCCTCCTTTGTTTTCAGTTTCTTATAAAAAGACCCGTAGTCATATAATCGGTAAATATTAAATAAGCAACAAACAACTTTAGGAAAGCAAAAATAAAATTTAGAAGGATATGACGAATTTTACAATTATTAAATTAAGTACGGTCAAATAAACCTTATTTTGTGCAGCATTAAGATGCGTTTTTCAGGCAGGCTATTAAATAAATATATATTGCAAAATGCAATTAGTGAGTTTTCAGTATCAAATTTATGTCCTGTTATGCAGACAAATTGAAAATGGCTTAGATTGAGATATGTCTATGGGTGGATATTTCCTGCCGATAAAAAGTGACATTTTTGGTGAATTACATCCAATCTTTTTCACACCAGAAGCTCGAGTGAAATCTTGATAATAGAAAAGATCTTGAAAAAATAAACACTTGATTACGGTGGCGTAAAAAATTGCCAAAACTTAATAAAAATTCTGACAGGTCTATTTGCCTTCATAGTGGATGACAGTCCTTTGTTTTTGCAGTCTATTAAAGTTGCCTGGATTCGTAAATATAGGCGAAATCCAACAACGATTATTAAACCCTGCAGAAACGTTAAAAGCATCGCGCTTTGGCAAAATCAGTTCCTGACTGAGGACTCCAGCAGGTCACTATAATGGAATGGCTCTATTTTGCAGGTAATAAGTGGAACAAAGTAATAACGGGAAAAAAAGTATCAATTGTCGCTTTTCAATCAAAGGACAAACAATTGCTATATTTCTCGGCCACTTTTCGGTAAAAGAAATTTAGAAAATCTATGTCGCGTAAAAATTGCCATACGAAAATCGCGAGCTATAACTGAGAACAACTGAGGTAACCTTGAACGCGAGTCAGTTCTTTATTTAAGGCGCCTTTTATTCTCTAACGATTAATCAACATCATAAATGGTTCACAACTTGTTAAAATTGTATGGCTAAAGATGGATGTAAATATCGATTTTGATATGAGCAAAGCAAGGACGAAGAAGAATTGGCGTTCAACCTTCGCTTTCTAAACATTTACTGAAGGCAATGACGGTTACCTTGTTCCAGTGTCTCCATCACAAGGCTTTTCAGTGCAATCCTAAACCATGGCCAGAATCCACGGCTTTATCGAGTGAAAAAGTGATTCACAGCTGAAAGCTTAGTACTGAGCAAGCTTTATAATTTACACGCGCGAAAACTACTCGGCAGTTTTCCCCTAACGTTTCTTTTGTTAAGTGTACAAGGTAAAAGTGAAATTCCCGTTAAATTTAAAAACCGTTGCAATTTTATATATTTCGCACCGGATGCATCGATTATCTCATAAACAAAATCATGCCCAAGTAATTTATGGGCGATCCTGTATCGGCTTACATGAGCTCAGATTTTTCTGTACCAGCCTTTGTACTCCCAAAAATTCGAGACTGATTTTCAGCCTGGGTACTCTCTAACTTTTCTGTGCTGTGATGTCAGTTACAAGCTACATTTTTGAGTTTAATGAGCGGAAATATTGCTTTGTCTGGTCTAATTTTCAGACCTCGAGTACAGAAATAGTAATCTTTCATTTTGACAAATGTCATAGCCGTTTTGTCATTTTGAGTGCAACAGAACAAAAGGGTAAGTTTTTCCAACAGAGTATTGGAAAAGCAGCTGCGAAAACAGTCTTACGATTAGCTTGATTGAAACTCAAATTATTGCTTCAAGGCATTCAGCGTGCATGTCAGCATATGTCAGGGACCTGATTAATTCATTTTAAAAAACAAAATGATAATGATAATAATAATAATAATAATAATAATAATAATAATAATAATAATAATAATAATAATAATAATAATAATAATAATAATAACAATAATAATATGATGATGATGATGATGATAATAAATAGTACTAATAATACATCATTCGGTGGAATGGTTTCACATCTTCGTAGACCCAGGGGCAGCTAATGAAAATCAGGCTAGAACGTTGAGTGGCGAAATAATCACAGGCAACGCGCTTGATCTGCACTTTATCCGCTACGGCTTATTACACTACAGTAGAACCTCGATAACTCGAACTCTGATAAGTCGAATTCCCCGCCAACTCGAACCATAAATTTCCTTTCCCTTAATTAAAATTTCACTCAAATTTACCCCGATAACTCGAATTCTCCGCTAATTTTTCGTTTCTCTTCAGAGTTCTAGTTACCGGGGTAATAATGTATCTCGAAGTCTGGAATAAGCTACGAGTTAAATCACTGGAGAGATCATTCAGTATGGAAATATGGTTCATATATTTATAGGCATTTGATCTTCTTTTTTCAGTTATAGGTTGGAATCTATGGTTGATGTTATCCCTAACAGGTATAATTACGTTGTCAAAAATACAGCTGTAATCTCAGCATGAGATAACTACTAGTATAAACTGAACACAGTTAAGAAATTGACCACGTTCGATATATTAAAATTCTAACAGGACTCAGAGGCTTTCTGGTCATTTTTCTATACTTGGATTGAATTTCTCTGCGCTCAAGTCTCTTCTGGGAATTGCCAGACAATGGAGTCGTTAAGAATTTTAATTTTGACCCTAAAGCCTCGGAGTCATGTTAGAATTTTATATATCGATTGTGGGCTATTGTCAAGAATTTCGTAATAAATCTTAAGCCGTCTACACACCACCTGCCTCGATTAGCCTTGCTATTTGCAGGTGGTGTGATATTTGTATATTTAATGTAAGAAATAAAGATGTTGTTGCTGTTGTTGTTGTTATTTAGAGACTGTGCCTGAAACTGATTCGGGATTGCGTCGAATTGCAGTATGGGATTGTTTTGAAGACGCGATCAGTTCTCTCACTGACTTTCACAAACTTGCGCTGGAAACTGGCTCAAAATCCCTCCCCTAAATCGATCCCACAATGCAACTCGACGCTTCACCGATCCAGTCCTACTCCCAAAAAAACTAATCTTTTAAGAAGAAACACACAAACAACTCTCTTAAGCTGGCAATTATTGACTGAACAAAGATTAAATATAGTTGACTCCTAGGATAACTCCGACCTTCAAGGAAAATCTCAAATGGTTTGAGTCATTAGGTATTGCAGTTTTGGCTTGATAGGAACGAAAAATGGTGGACAATGACGGTCTTTCAAGCAGAAGTGCTGATCAGATCCTCTATCAGGATCCGGTTCTTCTATTTTGTAACGTTGGTCCTTGCTTCCAAAACAAAGGTAATAGAATAGCATTTAACGTTCCTACGAAGCCTTAAACGCAGCGACCGCACAAATAAGCCAAAGAAATTCTAAATATAAGCTTAATGCATAGTTTGCTCATGTGAAGAGAAAATATCATAACAATTTTTGTATGAATAATTAATTAGCAGAGAAAGGTTCTGTGACTCACGGACTTCAATTGCGAACTTGGGCTTCCTGTTGTTCCCCTAGTTTATAACTAATGGCATCCACTGTAAAATTCAACGTTTTCAGACGCGTCTTGTTCAGATGTAGGCTGGTTTTGCTGGCTTTATAAGAAAACCAATAGATGTGTAAAGAGTTCAAACTATGCTGTGAACAAGTGCCGTGAGACCTGCGAGTTTTGCCCATTACCTACTACTGGTAAGAAGCTGTTAACTTGCGTATCTAATAACAATTTTTAGGTCGCGAACGGGGCAGGGTCGTTGGGGAGGCTATCGCTTCTTTAGTTGGCTTTTACGAAGTTGCATAGGAAACTGATCAAAAATGATATTTTTGGCACTTATTCCGCTGGAATTACAACCCACCCTCAGCATGTCACGCCGTAAGGCAAGAGAAGCGTACCTCATAGAGGCAAAACCCTCTCACCAGACGGTCTGAACCGACGGAATGAACATTGAACTGTTTCTATTTCTATTTTTATTGTATAATCATTTACCAGTATATCATTCTATCTAGTATTTATAATTGTAGTTAATTATTAACCACTTAGAAGACGTTTAAGGATATTTTCTCTCGGTGTAGGTCTGGCCCTGAGGAAGGCTAAGTTTGTTAGCCGAAATATTGGCCGATAATAAATCAGCCCTTTGCCGTAATGCCAGCCCTACACTCAGTTTTGTTTTACTTTATACGAAGGGCGATGTTGTGTTGTTTTCAGAAAGTCCAGTCACAGAAGGGTCATCGTCCCCTGTGGCTACCCTTGCAACAACGCCACCTAGGCCTGAATGTTTCCGTCAAAGTTTAACCCTGCCAATAAGCCAGGAACTGTTTGTGGACAAAAAGCTACAAGGTCACGTGATCTGGCACCAGTCAGTTTTTTCGGAGCTTCAGTGCGAGGATCTTTGTATTCGAGTTCCCGGATGTTTGGCTTACAATTACCACTACTCCGGTGAAATGGCAGAAAAAGCTTGTGAGTTAATGAACGAAGTTAGAGTTGTAAACAACACCCCTGGGTACAGCTTCAGGTTGTTTGAGCGAGAACGAGTTTTAAAGGTGAGCAAACGTTTACTGCACTAACTATGCTTCCCTCATGTGCTCCGTCCTCGTCTTAGAAACTAAACGTCTCTTGGCCAACGTGCCCACCATGTGTCCTACTGTACAATTCCCTCCATGGTCAAGTTACGTTCCTTTACGGTAACGAAATATTATCTCCATTATTTTTGAAGGTTTTACTGGGATCTTGCCTCGGCGAAACATGATACCGACTTTCCGAACGAGGAGAGAGTAAAGCGTTTATTTTGCGAAAACAAGATCATGTAACAGAAGAATGAGGAAAATACAAAGTGTGCGAGCCTGTTACCAAGGGCCAACTAGTTCGAAGGACGATTAGCGGAAATCCAGAAGTAGTTACCATGGCAACTCATGTGCTCTGTTCTTAGAGAAGAAGGGGCCCAGATGTTCGGAGGTCGACTAGCGCTAACACGGGGTTAAATTTTAGGCCGGGTTTCTTTTTATTTTGTTCCAAAGCATTTCATCGGATAATTGTCCCTACTCTTTTTAGAGCATCCGATGATCAAAATGTAGACAAAAAGAATTAAACTGCATTTGTTTTTTAAAGTTTTATATCTGAGTTCAAATTTCCCACTAACCCTGGGTTATCTTAACCCGGTTTTGAACAACCCGGCGCAGGATTACCTAGAGCGAAATGAGTTTCCAACAACTCACACAAGGACTAGAATAAAGCGTTCGTTGTAAGAATATTTATTTGATTTTTTTTGTTTAATTCAGTCATTTGCTCGGCGTAGGCGTAGCCTCGCCTTTGCGCTATAAATACTCCAGAAAAAAACTTATAATTATTTTTTGCTGGCGACAAGAGGAGCCTGCAATCCTCAGTAATCTCCAGGTTGTTATTACGCATGCGTCGCATGTACGTAGCCAACATTCGTTGACAACATTCGTTTGAACTTCCACTAAGAATGAATGTAATGCGCAGAACGCACTTTAATCCCGCGCATTTGGGCTTTCTATCACTCGTAATCTGATCAGGTACTCTTAGCTACAATATATTTTTTCCTTCAGAAAATAAGAACCTATTTAAGAACCTAAAAAAGCGGTTAAGACCCGGTTTAGGCTTACTTGGGAAAATGCTTGTTCTTAGTCGTGAGTTTTTAGATTATCGACACGCAGCATTGGAAATTTTTCAGTTAACAGTATATAAAGCCGATCGTATCTTCGCCATATGCATCGTAGGAACGAACCGAACAGCTGGCTTGTAAAAACAGAAGTTCCAAGCGAAACTCCGACGTCTTCAATAACAAACGTGCACCCTTCTCGCTTTGTATCCCGACAGTTAAAAACTTTAGTCGACGACATACTCTCTTCACATTCAGTCAAATCTAAAACAGCCGCCGCGTTCTAACTTTAACGACGGTTAAAAAAATAACCAAGACAAAACTCGGAATAAAAAAGAGAAATATAAAGGCCGCCCAGTCTGTCATTAGACATTGGTAATAGTACCTTGGAAGATCACTGTATTCTTGTAACTTATTTTCCACGTAAGAGAATTCCAAGAAATCGAAACTATGCCCTAAAGCCACTGCTGATGACCAATGGCATTTGCCGTAGTCTTGAAGACTTCGAAACGGATTAAATCCAGGTATATCCACTGCGGGTAAGCCACTTTCGTGGGCGAGTATTCCCATATACGCATCCTCTGCTAGGATCGCCTTCCACTTCTTCATACTTTGGAAAATTGAGCGCAAAGCGCTCGCGGAAACGACATAAAACGGATCTGAGCAATATGGTGGGTAATATTCTATATCCAGGCAGTCTTTTGTAACGTAATTCTTTTGACTAGCGGAGCGTCTAACTTGCGCGTCTCCTATTGAAAAACCTCCATAAAATAGTTCAGTTGCATACAGCTCTAACCACGTCATAAGATATGGAATTCGGATATAGACATCGTCGTCTGTTTTCAAAAGTAATCTAGGATTTATATGAACCAAACCCCATAATAGCCCTGAGAAGGTCTTTATTACCAAATTGTCATAATTTTCAGCGACATCAAGAACAAGCACATCATTGAATGCTGATGATTCTTGCATGATTTCCTTGTCCAGTTCAGAGTCGTGTGTTTTACCCAAGACAAAGATGTGTTTCCACAGTCTCGAGGCGTGATGTCTAGTTTTGTTAGCCCATGTTTTACGTATCACGTTCCTTCTTTCACGATTCAATTCACCAGCTCCAGATACAGTTAATACAAGAAGAAATATACTCGTCAAGTCTTTTTCCTCGAAACGTGGTTGTATTACAGGCGACACAAACGAAAACGTCAGCTGAGAACATTGAGAGCGAATGTTCTTCAACAGCGTGAGTTCGGAGGAATTTTCTCCGAACGCGAATGTCTCATTCCCCTTCATTTGCAATGACGCTGTAAATTGCTGCATCGAATTTACTTTGAAATTTTGTCCTCGGTTTTGAATCCACATATCTGAATAATATATGTTGTAGACGATTAGGGCAATGAATTCAACGAAGACTATTGCTGCGAAAAGGGAGCTTCCAGTCTTACTCAGCCTCATGCTATGACGAGGGCGCGATTAGGATCCGGCGGCGGCCTCGTCTCTTCATTCAAAGCCGCCAGGTTCTTTCAATAAAGTGCACCTAACGTTAAAAGGGGAAAAACCGGTTACCGTATAACTGCCGCTGGGGGATTATAAACAGGGGGAGGCTTATATCCGAGGGGGCATATAACTGGAATAGAAAAAGCGATTCAAAACAAGCTGTAGCAATGCTGATCAAAGTACGTTTTGCAACACTTATTACGAGAGTAAGGTCATTACAGGGAAATCTCAGACCGAGGCCAAGGTCTGAGATTCCCCTGTATAAATGACCGAACGGACGAAGTTAATAAGTTATTTATTATATGACCTGAGCCGGTGATTAATTAAAAACCACAACTGGTCAGCGGATAACTTTAAAAAACACGTCACCTTAATGAGTTGTACACTTAAACCCGTAAACAAGAATCTGACACTGATCAGCGGATACCCCGCGCTTCCTCAATCCCCGCGGACCGACCCGAGGAACCGACTATCTGGGAGCCTGGAACAGGCTGGATCTCCACTATCAAGTGAAAAAAAGATTGTATATGCCTTGGACACCTAGCTAGTAATACCCAGTCACCACAAGAAAATAATGCCCACTTAGCAGCCAATCAGAGCCTGCATACTATAGTAGCCATATCATAATGGTTTTTAATTAAGCTGAACAACGTCATAATAAATCAAATCTATTTCAATACAAACCAACGGGGAAGCTTATATCTAGTAAGCGGCCTTATGATCGTTCGCAGACTGCCTTTCCTCTTAATATCTGTCTACTCCTTATCCTTGCAGTGATTAATAGGGCTTTAGTTAAACTGGGGGGGGGGAGGAGGGCTTATAAGTTGGTGGGGGGTGGAGTGGCTTATAAGAAGTAGTTTAGCAGTTTAAAGTATACACTCAGTACTGCAAATTGTCCCTTGCCCAAAAGTTGCAAAATAATAATAATACAATTTGTGAGAAAAAGGTCTGGGGTTGGTCTTCCTAGGCCTCACAGAGATGTAGTTCGGAAAGGTTTTTAGAAAAGCGCTCAAGACACGTATCGTTTACTGACTTCAGGCAGGAGCCTATAACCTGCTTCAGACCAGTTTTATAAAGTGTTAGGTTGCCAAAGCGAGGCACTAAGAGGCAATGGCACAAGTTTAAACTATTAAAACCTGGCGAGAAATTATGATGCCAGCACGGTATAAGATTTTCATAGCAGTCAAATACTGTGGTCATCACCGATCTCCACACCGAGGCGTCCGCAATCCTAAAACACTTCGCTTCCAAGAGTCCCCTATTCCCTATTCCCTGTTCCCCATTCTTGATTTTCCATCATTTGCGGGTCGGTCATTTCTCCCGTTGAACTGTTCTATAATCTTCTATTCGCTGCAAGGTTACGGTTGTTATTTTTATGATATTGTAAATTATAAATCCACTCCCCTCAGGGCTTTTTAGGGATAATTTACAACACTGGTTGGGGCACTTTGCCAGACTGCTTAGGTGCAGTTTACGAGTAAGGAATGAGTAATGATGCCCCCATACACGAGTGTGAAAGTCAGATAGACCACTACACCGGGCACTACGTGCCCTACTCTTTACGAAGAGTGTGTGAGTTCTTGAACATCTCACTTTAAGAATTATAAGTTAAAAGGTCAAACGTAAGGTTCTTGGAATAAACAACCTAAACATATGCGGCCTTACTGAAATTCGCCAGACCTAAGATCGCCGATTGTTCGTTATCGCAAAATGCTCCTTAAACGAGGCATTTTAGAAAATATTCGAAGTAAAAATCCTTAATCTTACCTTGTGAGATAAAGCTTGCTTGTCGTTTCTTAGTTTGTGACTTGTGGGTGAATTCCTTGGCGAGATGACTTGAAGTGAACTGGTGTATGTCACGGCCGGCTGGCTACTGCAGTTTATAAATCAATATTTGTAATATCGCGTTGAGCCGAGAACGAAGCCTAGAGAAAAAGTCTTTATGGTCGGCACAAGATAACGAAATGAGAGTTTATCAGGCTATAATATTCTCACAGAGAGGACAAGGCACGTTACATCTGTGCATTCGACATCTTGAATGAACAGCCTCGGCGGGTGGTTTTTGCATTGTGTTTGAATAACAAATTATTTCTGGATGGACTTCTGGACGTGGTGTTGGATCGGTCTGTTAACCTCTTCAATGACTGTGATCGAAAAGTAGTGTTTGCAAGGCAACGATATAACGAGAAATGAAAAATCAAGCAGCGACTTCCCATTTTTTTATGAATTATTGTAATGATTTACTTACAGGAGAAATACTCAAGATGTAATTTGACAGCTTTTTCAGTTTCTATAAATGTAAATTTATAAGATAACTCGTCAATCTTTTCTGGCAGCTTGAGAAATTGAGTTATCATTAACTATTATTCATTCAAAATAATTCCTAGTTTAACAAACATAGCTGAAACATTCTTACCTCCATCGATGTTAAATTAATCTTCGATACTGCACGTTTAGGGTAGTTCAGCTCCGCAAATATTCTCCAAATAGAAGATGTCGCCCTTTGAGTTGTCTTCTAGCTGTTTGGCCATGTTTTTAGTTATTATGTCGCCTAGTTCTTACTCTTGAAACGAGTGAAATGTGCGCCATTTTTGTCTTCACAACCAAAACAACTCAACCTCGTCCCCAGGTCTTCTCGGTTAACAGTGCATTAACCCGCAAGGAAGCTGCACTTTTGACATCATCGGTTCGTTAATCGCAAAATTCTTCCAAATTTGGTCGTCAGTAGCTGGTTATGGTAAATTATTGGTGTGCTTTTAGCCCGTCAGAATCGGGGAAATATTTTGAATGAATAATAAGAAGAATTCTGCAGATCTCGGAGGTGTCATATTATCCACCTCGGCCGATAACACCCTCCTCGATCTGCAGAATTCTTCATATCCAACTCAGCCTCATTCAATCATTGCTAAATGTATCAGCCGTCTCAGATTTTTCAGGTTATACACGAGCACATGCGTAAAAATCGCCACCTGCGTGTCGCCTTGCTCGCATGTAGAGATTTTCATGCTGTCCCAGCGAATGAGAGACTTCTCGTGCTCCAAATGTTACCGATTTCGTGTAGGAAGGGGAGCTATCATGCATGACTGGAAAAAGACCCCTTCGCAGTGACGAGTGTGTTAGAGATATTATCGTCAGACATCAGATCTTAGAAAAGTAAAATGTTTCCTTTATTTCAGTTTTCAAGTAGCCTGACAATGGATTCTTATTTCAATTGTTTGAATTTCTTAAACAACATGTGCAATTGTAGTTTGATCTTTCGTTCCTCTTTCATTTACTTTTTGAACCGCTACAAAGAGATACATAAATAAGACAGTATAAATAAATGTACAGGGGCGGATCTAGGGGGACGGTGCAGGGGGTGCGCACCCCCCCCCCCTTCCACCCCCACCGAGAACTATGTGGTTTATTGGTGTTGAAGTAGAGCAAGAGACGAGTGCACCCCCTCCTAAAAAAATCCTGGATCCACCCCTGATGTACAGTACTATTCTAGTAGTATTAAATGATGATATGGGCGTATAATTTTGAAGCCTTGACTGTGTCTAAATTTGGACCCTCCATCAGCCATTAGCGACATAAGGCTACGTCCAGTCCAATCCGGATATTTATGAAACTCTCGGAAAAGAAATAGGTGATGCTTTATTTGATTATTTTGTGATTAAAAATTACTTAGAAATTGACATTTGTGGCTCAAAGAAGTTAGATTTCGTGACAGGAGATTTCACAATAATGTAGACAATAGTCCGTGTATATATGTTATAAAATGATGTAACTGCATGCATTTTCGCTAAAATTCGCTAAACAGTCACCTTATTTTGTCTAACTATTTAAAATACTTTTGGAAAAATTAGATTATATATTAGTTTACATCTACACAATCTTTTATCAAAACTAATCATTCCCTTTCAATCGAAATACAATTTGCTAGGTGCGCGCGTGTTAAAAATATTGATGAGGATGACAAGAAATCTATTTAAACGACTATAAAACGCTTTACTGCCATGAAGTTAAGTCACCCATGATTCTTTTGCATTATAAACGGAAACCAGTCACCTTTTACCTCATTGTGGGGCGGGCAGAAATACTCCTTGTTCTATTTGTTTTCAAATTTTACAAAAAAAAATTCCTAAATAATTGTCTCTGCCCAATTTTGGCAGAGTAACACTGCGGCCAAATTTTATGATTGTGTACAATTTTAAGAATACTTATCTAAAAGACAACAAGTTTTAACAACTTGTGTGAGGGAAAGAGACGGATCCTATTATTACCATCTCTTGATGTAGGTAACTGAAGAGCTGAGCCTCTGTATGGGTGTTTACGACGAAATAGAAGTCACGACCAGTCGCCATTGATGAAGCGACGATCGCATGGCCTTTTCAATCAAGTTTGAAAACGTAAGTCGGTACAATGACGACAAAGAAACCTGCTAAAATGTGTGCTGCACGTTTAGAGTTTTTGTTTTGCTTATTTTCTCGTTTCCGTCGTTGTTGTGGTTGCGCTAGAGCTCGATAGTATCGTTACCACGCAAAGCAATTCTTGATAAGCGCCGATCTCGCCTGAAACACAGACGATTTTATGGAAAAAGCGCGACGAAATCGACGTCCGTCGTACAGAGGCTCAGAGCTTAAGCCTCGTCCACACTAATGTGTTTAATTAAAACGCATACATTTCGATGCGTTTAGGTCTTCTGTCCACACTAATACGCTGAGCGTTTTCATCAGAAGCGCATCAATTTGAAAACGCTCTTGAAAGTGGATCAAAACGAAAGCGCGTTCATATCGTATTAGTGTGGACAGTCGAAAACGGTCGAGAAAGCATCAAAATGAAAAAGATGACGTCATATGTATCACGTGGGTTGTAAAATATCGCAGGCGCGTGTGTTTGTAGCGTGCGCATAGAGTTCAAATTGCGTCACAACGTGTGGACAATTGAAAACGCATCAAAACGGTAGTGTGGACGCGAATCGATCGACGCGTTTTCCATGACAACGGAAACGCATTAGTGTGAACAGGGCCTTCGGTGAATTCGCCCTCACGTGACTCATGAGGTCATAGCCTCAATTCCTTGTGAATTAGGTTATCAGGAAGCAATTACACAATCATTTCTTTCGCTGGATGAAGAGGAGTCTTTGCTGGATCGTTTTACTTTCATTACCGCCTTGATGTATTGAATTAAAGCTTTATCCATCCAACTGAGCGGTGAAACGTCAAGAACCCCTCCCTCGTAAAATCCAAGATGGCCGCCATGATAGGTCACGACGAACAGCGCTGATTCATTGCATTCTAAAAAAAATACAAACGTGAAGAACAGATTTTACCCCAGCGAAAGCTTTAAGGCCCAGTTCAAACATCGATCTTTTCATGTACCGAACTTAATATCGAATAGGCCATAGGCATTTCCGAGTTCCAAAAAATCTCACTTTCAAAACGAGGCTACGTGCGAAATCTTCGTTGTGAAAATGAGTTTTATTTGCATTATAATTAAAACTCATTTTCACAACAAAGGTTTCGCACTTAGCCTCGCTTTGAAAGTGAGATTTTTTGGAACTCGGAAATGGCCTATTAGGTCGACCCAAATGACACAAGTTCGACGGTTGATTCAGACGTCGAACTTAATTAGTCGGACTCAATTCATTTTCACGATGTTCAATGGTCTAAAATGCTTACAAGTGAAAACAAATTTTAGTAATTTATGCATTAGGTTCGGCACAAGAGAAGTTCGACGTTTGAAACGAAGTCGTTCCACAGTCGAAATTCCCTTGTGGGCCACTCGATCTTAATTCATGGTCGACGCAAATTAGACATGTCGGACTTAATTGATTCAAACGTCGATCTCTTCATGTACTTAATTGAAGGAATTAGGTTCGGCACATGAAAAGTTCGACGTTTCAACTGGGACTAAGAATACACTATTTTCACTTATAAAATAATGAGTTTTACCGATAGGGGCAATACTTTCTCCGCATTTAAGGCACCATCTGGTCAGAGCACATTTGACCAACGGAGACGTAAGCTTACCTAACAGCGCTTCAGTCATTTATTCAGTCAGTCAGTCAGTCAGTCAGTCAGTCAGTCAGTCGGTCAATCGGACTGTTAGTCAGTCAGACAGTCAGTCCGGCAGTCAGTCATTATAAACAGTTACAGTGGATGAGAATGTATACACCGGGCATTACACTTGGCCGCATATTTACATATTGTAAATTAACTTTCTGTTGATCACTTTTGATACGAGTATGAACATCACTGAGACCTCTACCTTGTCTCCTACTTAACGATACTTACTGACGTGATTATGTGGAGTAACAAATAGTTCTTCTGGTACCAAAGGATCATCCAAGGCATTTAACAAAAGCACTGGAATCTTTATCTGCCGAGAAATGAATCAATGAGGTCGATAAAGAAGACGGTTTACGGTCGTTTCGCCAACATCCTGTTCGCTAACTTCTGAAGTCGTTTCGCGTACGTGTTGGGTCAGTTCCCTAACTGCCATCACCTGATCAGGGCTGAGAGAACGAAGCATACACAGGCGCAGCGCTCGTTTCGCTTCTTAGCGGAACGACATTAGACGTTAGCGAACGGGACGTCAGCGAAACGAGTCATAGGCGAAACGACCGGTCACCAAGAAAACAACTGTAACCATCAAGAGTTTCGCCCCATGTAAGGCAATCCGGATTCCAGAATCCGGGAAAATTTTGCTTGGGGAATCAGGGATCCTGGGCTTTGGAATCCGGAATACAGCTCAAGGAATCCGGAATCCTACTAACGATTGAGATTGGAGTCCAGAATTCAAGTTCCAGCAACAAATACTGGAATCCAGGATCCAAGACTGTCTTGGATATGTTAGAATAAAAGTTAGGCGGAATCCCATGCTCACACAGTAGAAGTTAGGTCAGCTTGCAAATGCACAAGACGTTACCTGGTTGATATAGTTGCATGAACTGTTCACTGCATAAAACTCGTCCAAATGGTTAAATCCTGCCATTTTTCTGGGTCATAATAAAAGCAACTGGATTAGAACAATGTTTGCTTTAACAAAATAACTGATCTATGAGATGAGGCCTGAAGGCTTGCTTCTACGTAGCCTGTTTCAGGCGCTCAAAGAGAAGAAAGCGGCGTGGTGCCATAGAGAGCTTGCTAGCACGCTAAAAGTGGCGCGAAGTAGAGAATTCGAGGGAAAATAGAGAGGGGACTGGGGACATCGGCGAGGAAGGGTTCTCTCACTCTTCTTTCACTCTTTCCACATTTTCATTTTTTCGCTCCAATCCTCATTTCGCGCCACTCCCTACCATCTGAACGCCTGAAGCCTGCTACCTTCTCTGCAAAGCGCGTTGGCGTTGAGAATCTACTAAGAAGTGGCCGTAGACGTAGAAGTACCACTACGTGAGGCATTATTTTCTAAAATCTTCTTCATTTTTTCCTAAAATCTCCTTTTTCCGCGGATACTCCTCTGAGTCCGGTCTCATGGAGCTTCAGAAGAAGGGAGGGTTACTAAGCTCTTACATTCGCATATTCAATTTTCTTTTTTGAAAGAAACTTAAACGTTCTGTCATTGGGTTTATTACGAACTCACAGTTTTTTTCCTTTTCTCCAATGAGATCAGGGAGGCAGCGTGGCTGAGCGGGTTACAGCGCTAGACTTGTAATTTAACCCTTTAAACCCTAAGATCAAAATTTGAATTCTCATTTGTTGCCTCTATTAATTTCTTAAAGAAGTAGTGGGAAGAAGTTGATAAAATATCAGGCAAATTCATCTTGAGTGATCATGTCCGTAATTCTCATGACCACTCTGTTTTACAAAGCATTGATATGACAGGGAGAAATTTGATGCTGATCACTCTTAGGGCTTAAAGGGTTAAGGCCCCGAGTTCAAGTCCGGACCTGACCGCTAGCTGGATTTGTTCTCAGTAGTCCGGATTTCAAATCCTCGTCGACGCTTTTAAATAGCCAAGTGCTTTGCACCCGGCCAGGTGGTATTCTGAACTTTGTTAAGTTTGATTTAAATAACTTGTTTCAGGCATTTTCTGGGCCCCACTAGCATCAGTGCTTCAAAGACTTCCGAGGGTAAACAAAGGACGTCATTATTAGATCATCGCAAAGGTCGGAGTTCAAACCCCGGTCAATCCTGAATTACATACAGATTCTTTTTCGACCGCCTAGGTTCACCACATAATGGCAACGTTTATATTCAGATTCCTCTGGAAGATTTCAAAATGATCTTTCTAAGCTAGTTCTGGTAGTTTTCTGATTTGTTGATTTTTCAAGAAAAAAAAAGCAAGCAAACCACGTACTTAATAAAGACATCATCAAGTTCATCTAGGGAAGACGATGATCGCACATGATGAATGGATGACTTGTGCTTAGGGGAAGTGAAGTTAGGGCCATGGAACAACACCTTCACGTGCCGATCAATAACTTTCTTCATAGTCTGTGTGATGCCCCAGTTGTAAAATCGGCGAAGCCCACCCCAGTCCTGAAGAAGACTCTTTGCCCTGAACGAAAAAACAAACAAACGAACAAACAAACAAATGAAGTGAAACCTCCTTCACATGAAAACTAAAAAAACAGATCCAAGAGTTCACTTTACAGAGATGTCTGTGTAGTAGAGGTAGGGATTGTATGAGGTTTAGTACTACAGTCTAATCTCTCCTTACGGACACCTCTCTATTAAGGACAGTTCGTTTGGTCCCAGAAATGCCAAAACTCATACATTCCCTACCTCTATAATACGGACACCTCTGTAAAGCGGACACTTGGTTCTGTCCCTTTGGTGTCCGTATTAAAGAGGTTTGACTGTATTGGGACCAAAGACAGGGGCACCCAACGTCAACTTTCGGAAAATATCTGTTCGGAAGACGATTTAAGATCTAGAATTTTCGGAACATTTGTTGTAAAATTTCTTGCTTGCTGCCTCTCCTAGGATTTTCGAATATCTAAAAAATGGTATAATTACCTATTTTTTAACGGATATTTACCCTAAAAATGTCACCTAGAATATTCGGGAGCCTTTTTTCTAGCTGAAATGTTCGAAAAGGTAAGTTTTAATCCCTATAATCTTCGGATGACTTAGACTTTCAGCTAGGAAATCCGAACTGATGAAAAATTTTTAGGGGTTAAAAATATGCCTATATCTACCGTTTAAATACTAAAATACATTTAACAATGCCATTTTAAGGGGTTTTAAACTATATTCTCGTTGGGTGCCCCTGCAAAGAGCTGTGCTTGGGAGGTGTTTGTATCATGGAAGGGGAGATACACCTAAGTGTCCACATCACAGACTGAAATGTCTGTATTATAGAAGTAGCGACTGTATGAAGTTCGGTATCTTTGGGATGAAAAGAACTGTCTGGGTGGGGCCTGTATTATAAACGGGGAGCCATGCCCAAGTGTCTACATCCCAATGGTGTCAGCATTATAGAGGCAAGAATTACATGTATCTTTGGGACCAAAAAACTGTCCACATAGGGAGGTGTCTGTTTTATGGAATTGGAGACACACCCATGTGTCCATATCATTGAGGTGTCTGCATTATAGAAGTAGGGATTGTATAAAGTTTGGCATCTTTAGGACCAAGTGAGAACTGTCCATGATAGAGAGGTGTCTCCCTGTATTATAGACTCATGTGTCCATAAGAAGAGGTTTGACTGTAGTTAAGTAGCAAATGGATTTACTTTTACCGTGCTACTGCTCAGTTATAAATATAAGAGGATGGCATCAAAATTTATGTAATTAGGAGAATAAAGGGGTAATGAGCCACATGCAAGTTTTGTCACCACTTATCAACCATGGAGCAACCTTGTACCGACTTCATAAACTGTTGTTTCTCTACCTTATAATGATATCCTTAAGTAACTTACTTATCTATTATAATAAATCTGTTTATACTACTACATCAGAAATTTCTGCAATTTGATTGGCTTAGAGCAGTGGTATTTCAGCTTAATTTGAAATACCTACATGTGAAAATTACAAACCTTTTGTGGGTAGTAGTATAAACAAATAATAGCATAGTCTCAAATTTCACTCGCCTAACGGCTCGTGAAATTACGTATAACAATTTCGAAATATCACTCGTGGTATTTATGCCAAATATCACTACAAATCATGCTATTACCTATACTAATATACATTAATTCTTGGCTTCACACAGTTTTGATAAAAAGTCTGTACAGTAAGGAAGAATGCCATCTGGTACCTTAAAATGTCATATCCTTGGCAAACGGAGATTCCACACTCAAAACACTCCTGCCTGGGTGCCTCCTCACCAAGGTATTTAATAAGAATATTGGCACCCATGGAAAATCCAACACCAATGAGTCGTTTGTGATTGAGCACAGTAGTAAGATGGTTCACCACAGCAGCAAGCTCTTCAGTTCCACCTGAAGGGACAGAGTCTCGTTAATTTTTGATAACTTTAGTTGCATAGGGGTGGGGTGGGGTAATACTAATAATTGGATTAGAGGGTGCTGTAGAATGGTCAGGTAAGAAGGGTGGGGTAAGTGGATGAGAGGGGTGGGGTAATGATAACTTAAGTTGCATGGGGGTGGAGTGGGGTACTACTTATAATCAGATTAGAGGGTGCTGTAGAATGGTCAGGTAAGAAGGGTGGGGTAAGTGGATGAGAGGGGTGGGGTGAGGGCTGAGATGGGAAGGATCAGAAGGAATACACTCTTCATACATAATGAAACTTAGCAATAACTCTTAATCAAGACTGAGGATTTGAGATATGGGAGATACAATCTATACACTTTTGTATACATTAGTAAAAATTAAGCCATGCATGTTTTTTAATTCTTGAAAATAAAGAGTACATTTTAAAGGACTGCCAAAGAGCTTTCATTTGAATGGTCACGACTATATACAGTGGATATTTCTGTTATAGAGCCACCTTTTAGGACTCTATTGATGACTTACTCTGCAGGTGAAAGGGTTATAAGAAGAAGAGCAAAGTAAAGCATAAATGCCTTTCAATTACCATAAGTGAAAATCCTGGGTGTTGACAAACTTTCCTTCTTCTTGGCTCCAAGATGATTCAAGACTGCTACTTTAAAACCATGTTGCATAGCATAGCCAGTAAAAGTACGGACATATTTCGTCTCAGTGCAGTTAGCAATCCCAGGCACTACTACAATAGTAAGCTGTTCCTCCTGTATAAAGACATAATTGCCATGATTTTTTTTCCCATTTTAATCAAGGCTCAATTTCACCAATTAAACCAGTCACAAGGCATGTTCCCGCACTGGATTGGCTTACTTATTCTCCTTCTGTTTTCTACTCCGACAACCTAGTTTTTTTTCCTTGATGGTAAGTGACATAGTCCTAGTGGAATAATCAATAAATTTGATTACAACCCTAACTCTGACAGTGTTACTAGTGAAAACCCTCCTTAACTTGCTTTTACTTACCATGGGACATACTGTAGTGCATATGGTGGAATGAATAGACCTTATTCATGATACCCGCCATCTTTGCATGCACTTAAGGACTGATGGGATAAAAGCAATGGCACATGGTTTCTCAGGAGGCACACAAATAAAAAAATTGCCAATGCAAGAAATCATGGTTGAGTTTGTTTATCCTAGACAACAGGAAATGAACACCTTGTCATCTCAAAGACGATAAAGTCAAAATATGGGTGGAAGTGATCATTGCTACTTTTTTGTATGCAGTAGCGACTGTAGATGTCCTCATGGTAGACGGTAAGGATATAATTCTTGCCAAAACTTGATATGTACATTTTGCATGACAGTGAAATTGTTGTCTTGTTTTGATAGAGTAAACAAACTTGAATGCAATTACTCGTATTGGTAAATTTTATCACTTGTTTGCCCCCTGAAATACTACGTGACATTGCTTTTATTCCATCGATCCTAGAGCGCGTGCAAAGATGGCGGGTGACTTGAATAAGGTCACAGCTTTGTGTCTCCCAAGTATTATATATTTCTTTAACAATAACAGAGATAAACTTTGAAAATCTAGGGATTTTTATCACTAGCTTCCTTTGTAAAGTTAAAGTTAAGTCCATTTTTAATTATAAAAACAACACATGAAGTAAGACACAGACCACATTGCTGACTGATGATGGACTCATGTCAGGTTCAAAAATCTCATAGGTAACAATGGTTCTATCTGCCAGTTGTGTTCGGTGTAAAGTTCCAGTCAGTATCGGACATGATTTGCGACCAAACAATGCTGATATAAGGGTCTGCAAGTGTCCATTTTTACCCCAGAGAAGAGGTGGTTGATATCTGGAAAAATTTCAGCACAAACATAATTTATTATCTGATCTCACACTTTCACTGACAAAAGTGGCCCAAACAAAATTTCATTTTTCAAAATAAATGAGAACTCGTATAAACACATTATCCAGAAAGAACACTTTTATGTTATAGATTAGGGCGAAGGTTTCTTTTACTTACTGCCTGGTTACCTGAGTCGTAGTACCAACCCCCACCCTCTAAGACCCCGGGGTCTTGAAGGGCTCAAGGTATGACAAGGTGTCTTAATCGTCTTAAATATATTCCAGTTTTCCAAAAACAATTTTGCTTTGCGATTGATAATAACTTAACTCGCTATAACTATTAAGCTTATTTCACTGAAATTTAATAAATAAAAATTGATAGTGAGCTCAAGCTTACTGCAATATTGCGATCGCTTTTGTAAGCATTTTACCTTACCTTTCAAAGAGGATCGGACATGACAGCAAAACTTCATTTATAAATGCACTTTTAGGAGCGAAAAGTTTGGGTACACGAGGAGAGTCTATCAGATTTAAGATTCGAAAGAAAAGAAACAAAAGCACAGCGGCAAAAGCCAAAACAACAAGGTTCGCCATTGTTGTGTTACAAAATGAGCCTTCCACAATGCGGAATAACTTTAGAATACATGCGCAGGATGCTTCACGCAATATACTCGTTTTTGTAACGCACTTCTCTATTTCAGGCGACGGGCTTCCTCCACCGATTGCTTTGATTTATTTTTTTATCTTTTATTAACTTACTTATTTACATATTTAGTGGCCGGATTTTCGTGTCCAGCTCATTGTCCAACACTTGTCTAGAGAAAAATCCCGCGACTAAGAACCTGTTACTGTGCCCCCTCTATACAAGAACCGTTTTAGCCTGATATTTGAAACAGGTTCTTATTGTCTAAAATCAATAATAATAAAAAAATTTCTACGCTTGAGCAAATATTAAAGATAGCTCAACAAGTCCAGAATCCACTTTAGAGACATAGGTGTCTTGTCTAGTGGTATTCTCGTTCCCAGAGTATCCGGTTGTTTGTTCAGTGGGGCAACGCCAGCTCATTATATGCAAAAAGTTAAAACGGTCGTTAAAACGTCGGTAATGACGACAATTATTATGGGTTCGTCTCGTTTATTGCCTAGTACGGCTTTTCTGATAATCTTATTTGCGACAAATGTTTGATAACATGCCACACTTTTTGTCGGTAAATGATGCTCTTGATACTTGTCGCAAGTTCTTTAGGTCTACAGTTTCCAAACTTGAACTCAGGTTAATCCGTTTGGAACGAGATTACGCAAAAATGGCCGCCAATGGTTTCCTCCCTTTTTCTTCCTTTCAGTCATCCGGCTAAAAGTTTCATTTCATTTCATTTGTCATATTCTTAATTTATTTCGGATGCAAAGCCATAACGCAACATGCGTCTAACGTAACTGTCGCATGTTTTCAATCCATTAGGTTTGATTAGGTCACATACTAATCCCAATAGTCCTCGGAAAACAGGAGCAGATTAAAAAAGGCGAAAACAAATTAAGAGATTTCTCTAGCCGGTTATCAATCAAAGCCGCCTTATCTCTGATCTCCCTTACTAGCTAATACCCTTAACTACTTAATAACGATTATGACGAGGGGTTAGATCTATATCACCTGAGGTGACTGGCTTTTAGTTGAATTTCATATTCGGTAAGCAGACGATATGCTAGCCAAACCTTCCGATTCTAGAAACTCTGACCCAACTTAATTTTGAATCAGTTGCTTTTAGACTGATCAAGATCAGCTAAATTTGTCTGTCTCCGAGACAGTACACGATATATTTCACCACGAATAAAAACCAAAGCCCGTCTTCGTTTCCTGATAAAGCTCAGCTATACATAGGCGTTATGTATAGATATTTATGGCTGACTTGTCTTATGAGCACTAGCTAGGCTAGAAGGCATTACAATGAAAAATATATATCTTCTAAATAACTGAATTGCTAAAAAGTTCATAATGGTCACAGATATAGAGTTTCGACCCTTATAACTTAAAAGGATAACCTTTAATTTACCGCGGTGGAAGTCATAAATTGTGCCTCAGTTAAAACGCCAAAATAGTGTGAAATAGTTTTAGTTAAGTTCTTTAGTATGCAAAATTTCATGCATGGGAACTTAAATGGTTCTAGATTAATCAATCAGTAGCGAAGTGTAACTTTCACTTGTAACGGACGAAGCTAAACAATCGGCACTCTTGCGATGAAAGATCGAAAATTCCTGCATTTACAATCGTAAAAAAACACGCGAACTTTAAACCCCCTAAATTTAAGAAACCGGCTTTAAGTCGTTGACATATGGTACATTTGTCGACTAAATGATACGGCACTCCTGTCATTAAAAAGGACGAAATTTGTGTGCATTTTCAGCCTAATCTATTCTGCTTAATGAGGGTTGATGTACGGTGGAAACTAATGGAACTGTAATGTTATTTGCATGTGCGGTTGCCATTCCTAAACTTGCACAATCGATGACCCTGTAAGCTCTCACTTTGTACTAAGATAATCGAAGCGTTAACATTAATTGACCAAGACTGTTTGTTGGATACCGGGGCAAAAGGTCATGATTGTACGTGACTACATTAGCTCTCAGTGAAGATGAACAATATCTCGGATTTTCACATGAACTGAAAACGTGGATTGAAATCGAAACTTAAGCAAGCTGGGAAAGAACATAAATATGACAAGTGCTTCTTTATCAGTACCGGCGGCATCAAGCGAGTTGGCATTAACTACGATCATACCAACATTCACGACGGATTCACCACAAGGCGAGTCGCCGGAATTCAAGACTTTAAAACTGTTTCTTTATTGTACCATTCTTGTCTTCAGTTCACTGGGTAACGGACTCGTTTTCCTCTTAATTTCTTGCAACCGTCGTCTCCGTCAAGGGTCCTCAAACAGATTGTTACTTAACTTGAGTGCGTGTGATTTCCTCACTCCGTTATTGGGTATACCGTTTGACTTGGTGCTCGAAGAACGTGGTTACGATTGGCCATACGGCGAGTTCATGTGCCATGCACTGTGGCCAGCGTCTACATTCACGGCTACAGCATCTGCTCTTACTTTGGCGGCCATTTCGTTGGACAGGCAAGTCATTAATCAATTAACCCCTCAGTTGACTTAATATTGGTGGAGGCAGAAAGCAAAACGGCTGAAGATAACAATAGCAAATTTTATCTTAGGTAATCATGAAAAAAAGTTTAAAAGTGCATCTGAAGAGATTTCATTTGAATGATCTTGAGTGGTCATACCATGAGATTTCGTCAAAAACTCGAAAGTTTTTTAGACTGGAACTTCCTGATTTCATTGTTTACTCTCTGCGGAAAGTTAAGGGGAAAGTCCAAAATGTGCAACTTATTGATAACATAACGAGAAAGTGCTATTGTATAACTTTTATTGAATATGAAGTCAGTACTGACACTAACGTCTCAACGGAGATCAATTCATAGATTTATGACAACTTTTACAGCTAAAAATCTCACAAAACTGCCCTAGATTGAGGGGCTCTGTAACACTTAACCCACTTAAATTCTAGGTCCAGTAACATTAGCAACAGACACTATATATAAAAAATACACATAAACTTTATTTAATCTACCCAGAAAGGGCTTTTAAGGTCCTGCTCAGTGATAGTAGGTTAATACTTGTTTGCGACCAATGTCAATTGCTAACACATGGTTACCATTAGTTTAAAAAATGCTCCAAGGTACCTCTGTCTTTTCGTCCGGCCTGGGCATTACAAAATCAGATACTGATGTCAGTAATATTTCGAAGGCAAACGATAGAGAAGCTATCTGTTTTTTTCTTCTTAAAAGTTTGAGACAAATATTGTGTTGGAAATTAAAAACTTGTAATTTACACCTAGTTTAAACCCGCAAATCGTCTTTGAAATCATGGCTACGAACACCCTTTTTTCTAAGTTCTAATTGCATAAAAAAACGTTTTTATTTTTATTTCGTAGGGAGGATTGACAAATATTTCTGGCATTGTAATAATGTAACAAAATCATTATCACCTATTTTAGAGAACGTGCATGCTTAAATCATTAATGATCACTTTCTAAGCATAGTTTTCAACAAGCGAGTAGTTAACTGATACGTTTGTCACATTTTGACGCCTTCTCTTAATTTTTGATATTTTTATAGAGCCGCCCACTCGATGCTTAAGGAATTGCCTTTGTTTTAGAAAATAACAGAGGAAAAAAAGTTGTAGCTTCAAAATTTGTGTTAAAAAAAATCTCTCTGTATTTACACTTGGGCAGATCTAAGTCCACCCCGAAAGGGACTCCTATAAGAAGTGACAGGGATGGTCGCCT